GCATAGTGCTCTGTCATCATATACTTTGGCTTTGTTATTCACCAGCACAAGTATTTTTATTTTCTATATTGATCTTGAACCATTAATTGGTTTGAGCATGTTGTTGTCCCATCTCTTTTACTTTGGCTTCATCATTGAGCAGGGTATTGTTGTTGGCTTCATGCTACTGGTTTCTAAATGGATCTTGGTGAACAAATATTTGGTTTAAACATGTAATTGTCCTATTTTTTTATTGCTCCTTTCTTGTGCTTAGTTGCCCTGTAGTCTTTAAGACCTAGAACTTATTAGACATTCTCTCCATATGATAACTTTCAATTGTTAATTTTTCAGGTCTCACTATAATTTGTATCTTCAGAGTATTGCTGTCAATGGGCAAGTGTTGCCTATAGATTCAGCAGTCTTTGCAACATCAGAGAACCGAGGAACCATTGTTGATTCTGGAACCACTTTGGCTTACCTAATTGGAGAAGCTTATGATCCTTTTGTCAGTGCTGTAAGTGATTTGCCTTCATTTTACGTTTGCTTTGAAAGTTATGAAGAAAGCAGTTCACATGAAAATTTCAAAGTAACCATAGATATCTAGGCTCCCTTTTCCTGGAAGATAAGGCTACAGTTTTCTATGTCTTCTGCGAAACTATTAAAATGTTCCTTGTTGAAGGAGGAGTACACACCAAGTGATACATTTTTAAATTCTGGGGGCTTTGTAAGCTGCCTCGTTGTCAAGTGTATATGAATTTAGGACATCTGTTTCATAATGGAAATTATCATTGTTTCTGCTACTTCGATGGTATGTGCAACACCCAGGCAGTGTGTTTGCCCAAGTCAGCAGTTCCATAACTTATAATCATGTAATGCTGAACACTAGTTCGTCTACAATTTTCTTCCCTTTTTTCAAATCTTGACATATTTGTCATTGCATGAAGCATCATCGTGAATTTATTTGCATACTCTGAGGATGTAGTTGTTCTCAAAACTTCATTTGCTATAGATGAGCTTGTATTGAACTTGTAGGTATATAGACATGCCCTAGAGTATCTGACCTTTCAGCATTTTTACTTGGAATGATTTGTTCATTTTCTCTGCAGATAACAGCTGCTGTTTCCCAAACTGCTAGACCAGTTCTTTCAAGTGAAAGTCAGTGTTATTTAGTTTTAGCAGGGTAAATCTCATGCATCATATTAAAATTTATCTCAGAGGTTCTCAGACTCGTTTCTGAAATTTAAAAATGAATTCTTCTTGGTTTCCTAAACAGCATTACTGAGATATTTCCTCCAGTTTCTTTTAACTTTGCTGGTGGTGCCTCCATGGTTTTGAGGCCAGCAGACTACCTTGTTCATTTGGGGTTTGTGGTGAGTATGGAGATTCTGTTGACTAAGCTTTCTTATACCTTTAGAACTTTCTAAAGTGTTGCTATTTCACGTTATCAAATTTGTGGTGTAAATGATGCTGGCTGTGCTACAATTGAGTGAATTCTGCAATCCTAAAGTGAATGTAGTAACTCATTTTGCAGGACGGTGCTGCAATGTGGTGCATTGGCTTCTCAAGGGTAGAAAAAAGCGTGTCAATTTTAGGAGGTTAGGTTTTTTCTGAAAAAAAACTTCATTGCTGTTAATTCTTGTCTGCCGTTTGGCATGAGATAAATAGCTCAGATATGCACTAGGAAATGAAGCATTCTGTTCACCTGCACTTTACATTCTGCATGTCAGCTTTTGCATTTGGTGCATTTTAGTTTAATCTGTCAGACTTGCTGACATGGATCAAGATCACCCTACATACTCAAATTACCAACAAATTTTGGTGCTTGGAATTGAATCAACATCACATCCGTGTCAGCTCTGTAGATGTTGTGAATTGAGAATCAAGATTTCTGAATATGAGGATAAATGCACTTCTGCTAACTTGATAATTAAGTATATTGAACCAAGAAAAAAAGGTTTAATAGTACCCAAAATTTCCCGTGCAGCAATGTGTCTGATATGACTTCTTTCATTAAGTAGATTAAAATGAGTAGATGTGCTGATCAAGATAGGTGCATTTACTTGATCAGAAGATCATCGAACTCTTCTACTTGTTTGATTGTTAGTCTGGATTGTGATGGCTTTTGGATGTCATTTGTCCTTTGCTGTCAAAAGATAGAATGTCTACTTGAGAGTCCTTTTTTCAAGCGTAATCTACAGATTTGCTTTCTTTCTGTGTTCATAAGAAATAGCGGAAGCAATTCCCTCTGTTAGACTACATTTTCTGCATTTATGTTCTTTTCGTGTGTCCTAGTACTTTAATGCTTTTTTTGGTTCGTTACTAAATTTTAAATCTGTCTCACCGTGTTTACAGAGAGTAGCAGAAAGTAATTAGTCCTGCCTGTCTCCAGATAGAGCTTGTCTAGGTAGATGTTTCCTGCTAGGGTGAACAATAATGGACTGTCTTTGGCTTTGGGAAAACTAAAACTTCTTGCTAAAATTTGTGGATGCATGTTAGTCAACATCATGGCTGCAAAATTTTAACCTTTTTGGGGTTATGTCGGTCCCAGAGCCACCAATTTTCAGTACATTGCTTAGTGTTGCTGGTTACAATATTTTGCACATCTAAGCTGGTCATTCAGCCTAACAAAAGTTGTTGGTATTTTGTTTTTAACAGATCTCGTTCTAAAAGACAGGATTTTTGTTTATGATTTAGCTCATCAGAGGATTGGATGGGCAGACTATGATTGTAAGTACTGACAGTTCATTCCAAATATTCCTTTTGTCATATGATAGGAACCTAGCGCTGCCTTTCTAATGTGGATGATCTGTATCATGTTGGGTGTCGTGTATCAGGTTCATTGTCTGTGAATGTCTCTATTACTTCTGGTAAGGATGAATTTGTCAATGCTGGACAGCTGAGGGTAAGCAGTTCAACAAGCAGTGTGTTCTGCGATCTTCTATGCACGAGCACCATTGCTTTGCTTCTGCAAATACTAGTGTTGGTTGGCTCCCAATTTTTGTAATATAAGTTTCAGCCTCAGAATCCTCATTCTTGATTGAAGATAAGCTGTGCCAGTTTATAGCAATTGGCGGGCAGGTGTTAGAGGCTTAGAGCCTTCAATTCATGAGCATAGTTGTCTCCCCTGAGGTTAGTTTTCTTTGTATGTGCTTGTTACTAGTAGGATAGGCCATGATAGGCCGCTGGTCTCTTGGCTCTAACAAAACATGCAGCTCATTCTTCAGTCACCGTCTTTTTTTTAAGTAAGTGGGAAGTTTTGAATTCAGGATCTCTTACTCATAATCCTTTCCACCATACCATCCTTTTTTAAGTAAGTGGGAAGTTTTGAATTCAGGATCTCTTACTCATAATCCTTTCCACCATACCATCCAACCGAATTCTCCCCCTCACTATCTTGAAAATTGTAACATGTAAATTTTGGTCATATTTTACAGCTATAGAATCGATTTATGGTTTATGGGGGATAGAGAGACTAGTTCATTCTTCTTCCACCATGGTGAGAATTGTACAAATAAGGTGAAATTTTGGGGCCTAGAGTTCTTGTAATACGCGTTCGTGTTTGTAATGATCTCTTTCTTCGTTTACTGGATTGACCGGGACATCTTCTCATTCCAAGTTGCTTTCCATTTTGCAATATTCACTGCTAGAATTCCCAATGTCATGCAAACCGAAAATTTTGGACGTAAAGGTTGACTTCTCCAACGAGCTCGATTTGATCAAGTTCTTCCCTGCACAAGTGCAAAGTTCAGCCTTTGAAAAGTTATTATGCATTAGGACGGGTGAAAGTTAAATTGGTGATCAATATGGTTTACAATATATTTCACGGTATAATATCTCTGAAGTGCTCAATTTACTAGTATTACATTGGGTTCTGGATTGCATTATGAATTTTAGAATTTCTGAGGAGAGTTGTAATGATTTGTGTAAATTGGTTTGAGATTGCATTTTCTGCTTACTCGACTTTGGCACTAATGAATATTAAGTCAAGAAAATATGGACTAATGCTATATTGGAATTTGATGCCCGTGGATTCACTGGCGGTTTTCTAAGTATTCTCATTCCTTCTCACTGCTTGTGATAGTCCTTAGAGCTATTAAATGGAACGATTGAGCTCGACTCGATAAGGCTCGAACTAGGCTCGTTAATTGTGGTAAACGAGTTGAGCTCGAGCTCGAGATATGCTCGTTTAATTAACAAGTCGTAAACGAGTCAAGTTCGAGTTCCAGATATACTCGTTTAATTAACAAGTCGCGTAGACTCGATTCATTTGTTATCCGAGTAGTTTGATTAGGTTTGATAAACATGGGTATATATGTCATTTTAAAATTCAAAAGTATAAAAATTGAAAATTATAAGTTTTTATTGTGGTCAATTTGCACGAGCTCGAGCTCGTTTGTGATAAACGAATCGAGTTCAAGTTTGAAATCGAGTCACATGTTTTATTTGGTGAGTCGAGTTTGAACACATTTTAAAGCTCATTCAAGTTTGGTTCGAGTTAAACTCGAGTCGAGCTCGGCCGCCAAATACTTGACTCAATTACCAGCACTAATTCACCGTCTCTGCTTCTTTCTTCTTCTAAAGTTTCCAACAATAGATTGTGTTACTTTTTTTTTTTGTTTAAATTCAAAGAATATTCCAAACCTTTCAAGGAGAAGGAAAAAGGGGAGGAACTTCAAGTTCCGCCCCAGTTTAAGTTTGCTACAGGACTCACAAGCTTAAACGCCCAAGTAGTATTGTGCTTTTTGCCCGTCCTTGGCTTCGAATATACAACTTCATTACTGAGTGGATCTCTGACCTATTAATGGAATTTGAGCGTTAGCTTAATTCAACTGCCTATTAAATTCAAAAGCCACTAGTATTATTTACGAAAACATAATCATAGTAAAAAATCCTTTGTAAATCATGTTGCGTACCTATTATCATTGTAGCTTGGGGAAAAAATCTATTACCATCGTTGCTTCTCAAAAATTTACCTATTACCGTTCAAGGCATACATTCCAGGATCCCAAATTCTCGACAAATTGACAGGTGAAACAATACACCATGTGACCTGCTAGACACTCCGGTGTAAAACGGTTTTGAGCATCCAACGGAAATGCTGATTGTCACATATTTCCTATATCATTTCTATGCCGTTCTGAATGTACAACAAAGAACTGAAGCTCCGCTTCCATGACAACAAACAAAGAACAGGAAACCCATGGTACAAAATCAACTAAATTACAGATGATTTGCAATCCTAAGGACTTTCAAAATAAAGAACAAAAAAGAAAGACCCAATAAGAATCTAAAAGGAAAAACTAGTGTAACTGCAAAAAATAAGATTAGAGCTTTCATCTCCACTTCTCCTGCAGCTCCTTCCTTTCTGACAAAATCCAAGTCACGAATATAGCCACCACAAGTGCAACAATTGTAATGAGCAGGAGAGCGTAACTGAAGTCTTCAGTAAGAGAATCATAGGTCTTCGAAGGTGCAAGCCTGGTAAAAAAGAGATCCACCCCATGGGCAAAGACGAGAGTAGTTGACTCTAACTTCGCAGGGACAGTTACTATGCCTCTAAGGCCTTCCACCTTAAGGGCATGCGTCACGTAAGACTGCAACCAACAAAAAAGTCGGCATTTAGTCAGGAAACAAATACGTTCCGACTGATGAATTGAGTAATGAGATCTTCATGATGTTACATAGCAACAATATGATATGGACAATGATATTATACCTGTGGAATGATTGGTAATGAATCGGTAAGCGGTATAATTCCTTCCTCTTTCTCAGCTTGTGTGGGGTTAAGTGTTCGCCGAGGATCCAAGAAACGTTTATCAAGTGCCAAAACCTATAAAGTGTCAAGACAAAAAACTGCAATGAGCAAACAACGAAACGTATAAAACTGAACCACCAAAAAAAAAAATTATATCCTTAGGACAGTGCCTACTATGAAGAAAGCATGAAAAAGGGTAGAAGTGGAGAAATGAGGGACGAACCAATCAAGCATATGAACTGTAACAGCTTACCTGATCACCAACAGTGCCAATAAGTAGTTGTTTGGAAGTTATGCCTTTAGCTGTGGATGTTGTGGATATTGCTTTCAGAGAGTGGGAAAAAAAGTAAGATTGCTGTTTAGTCACGACTTCTGTACGAGTGTAAGCTGAAATAGCTGAGGTCAAATTATGTTTCCCAAGAACCAACTTCAAGACATCCTTGTTGTCCTGCATTTCATTAGAAACTTAGATATAGCATAGTTAAGAATAAATGGAACATAGAAGGATCATGTTGTAGAATATACCGCCCGAGACTGATCATAAATTTCGATCACAGACATCTCATATCTGTGAGCTCTAAGGTTAAAGTAGTGGTAAACAACCCAATTCTCACTAACGACCTTCAGAGAGAAAATATGAGTTAGAATATATGTCATGAAAAGCATGAGATGGAAAACTCTCAGTGGACAATCTGACATCAACACTTTCTTCCCCTTTATATTATTGAAAGGCAAGCAGACTTACTGCATGGACAGGACCCTGTGAACCATAATGGGTCATGCGATGCAGAATACGTCCAGTTATGGTGTCAACAAGATAAACAACCAGCCAAGATTCATCAGGGGTGACAGATCCAATATCTCCAGCTGCTTGTGGAGCAACAGTTGCAATGAAGAGCAGATTCTTAGATATATATTTATACATCACATCCTGATCCGCTACTACTTTTGCTTGAGTGTGAACTGCCTGAAGATTAAGAGACATATAATAACAGAGAAGATTATAATCTATACATGACAGTACAAAATGTAAATAAGCCCCAACAAAGCTTGTACAGGACTTATGTGCTCAAATTCATAGGTCTGAAAGAGCAAACCAACAACCAATATGCTTAGAGCGAGACATAATTTCGCATGAAAATGAACACTTCTTTAAGATCATCACTAAACAATCTGCATAATGGAAAAGATAGTAATTCAAAGTGCATCTAAAAGCAAAAACACAGGACAAATCATAGTCAAGGTCCAACTTACCAAATACCACTCTTCCTTTTAAATTTTTTGGCCCATAAACTAAACATATTCAACAGAAAGAGTAGCACTTGTATGGGTGTGATTGTACTTCAATACTCTGACAACTCAGTACTAAAGTGAAAGATATAAAGTACCTCATTCAACTTCCTGGTTGCAGTTGCAATGATCCTTTCTGATTCTGAAGGGAAAACAATTGACCACAGATTCCTCGTGCCGAAACAATATTCATCAGGCAGCTGTAAAATGCAATTCTCCTTTGCTGCATGTCCCCTTAAGATACCATTATCAGCTTCCACTGAATACCAATAAATGTTTCCAACCTCGCGTTGAAAAATGGCAAGAGCCTCAGGACTTCTGGGATATAAGTGGGCATGCCAATCCTTATCTATCAATAGATGCAAACGCTGCTCTCTGGAATCAGTATGTGGCAGAGGAATAATTTGCACGATCGAATGAAAAGGTCCAACAGAATTAAGCTCCTTTCCTGTGTATGCATCAACAATGGAGTACACACCAGGGGAATCAAGATTAGGTCCACATCTACCAAGCACAAGTATTGATGGGTTCTCATCCAGTGCATGATGATGAGGGACTTGCCATTGGTGTAATGTAAGAACATTAGGAGCTTCACATGTTTGTGACTTGCGCAGAGAATTCAACAAGACAGACCACACAATTTGCCCATCTCCTGTGTGCAAAGCAAAAAGTTTCCCTGCTCGAGTAAGTACAATGATCAGTTTTCGAAACCCATTGTGATCTCGAGTCATCTTGCTCTTCTCGGAACTTTGTACCCTCAGTTTTTGTATGGCTGCAATATCATCAGGGTTTGCAAGCATAAGGGTTCCTTTAAGCTTCAGTACATGCCCCTTCAAGCAGGAAAACAAAATATTAAGCAGAATAGAGGAACATATAAGAGCTAGCAAGTCAAAGGAGATCACATGCAAGAATAACACAGAAGAGGCTCAAGTTTCTCATCTGTAGAAGCTCAGATATATCACTAAAAAGAGGGAATAAATTTATGAAGTGCTGGTTGTGGAAGGACAAGGCACTAAACCACTATAATTATTTGTTATCTAGTCCTAAGCATGTTAGCAAAATCCATCACACAACAGAACTCTGAATAACTGTGAAGGGATTGGCTGCATGCCAGAAGAACTCTAAGTGAGAAACCAATATCAAATGCAATTTTGAGGAGGTCATGTTTTGACTATATTGCCACAAATGCATTCACCCTAATTTGGAGACAAAGAAGGTACTATAAAAGAGGTACATAAACCCACCAATTTGTTTTCATTTTTGGTTTTCTTCCCTCCTCCCCCCCTCCTGATTGTAACATGAATTAGTGTTAGTCTTTACTAAGAAAACATCTTGAAACCTAGTAAAATGCATTTATGACAGCTTCAAAATAATTCTGGAACCTCATACCTTAAGCCATTCCAAAAGGCTGTGCTCCACTGTTGCAACAGATACACTATCCTTCTCTAGTGGTAGTTCTGATGTTGTGACTTCAACAATTGAAGCCAGCCCATCTTCCCTGCTCCAGACAATTTCCCCTTGCTGTACTAACAAAAGGGAATGGTCTTCCATGACAATCAAGGCCCTAAATCCTGATGACCTGTCTGTTCGCACATAATTGTTGAGGAAAATCCGCTGTGCGAGCCCTCTCTGACAATCCATATAACTAGTTTCTTTTATCAGATGGTTGCTCCAGTCACTAACGAGTTTCACAGTAAGCTGAATCTTATTGTCTCCATGTTGAATCAGGGCAATGGCTTGTTGATCTTCAAGGATTGAGAGAGAATCACTAATAATTGCAGTATGATCAATTTGGCCCACAACCACAAACTTGCCTTCATTTGTTAGTTTTACAAATATAATAAACTCTTTTACTTTTACTGCAACCATTTCAATAAGCTTATAAGGCAAAATTGCAGCAACTCCTGATGAATCCAACAGGAGATCTGAAATATGCACTTGTTCAATACTAATTTCACCATCCCGGAAGCGAACTGATACCAATGAGGATCGAGTGGAATCAAGTGCCACAGCAGTGTCACTTTTGAGGAATGAAATGTCCCCACAGAACCCACCAGTGAATCGAACTTTATCATGCTTCAGCAACTCCCCATTCTTTGCATTGATTTCAAAAGTGGCAAAATGAGAAGAACCAATAAATCCTAAAGCATAAATGATATTACTTCCATGACGATGAATCAACTGCTGAACATCAATGCTGCAATCAAGCAAATGTCAAATAGCTAATGTCAGAGCACAGCCATAAAAGTATTAAAAAAAATGACTTGTTTAACTGGAACAGTAGTCAAACCCTTCAGATGCTAAATCTTTCGTCCAAAGCACTTCCCCATCAATGCTTGAAACAGCGTAAAGACTCCCACTACCATAAGCCAGGATCAGATCATCCTTGCCAACTTTTAAATTTGTCTGTACAACAGCAAGTCCTAAACATCATCCTCAAACAATAATTCATAGATAGCATTTGTTCGAGATCATTAAGGGGCTCAAAACCACTAAGAATGGTGAAGCAAACTAGAGCCAACCCATTCAATGTTTGAGTTACAGTAAGAGTGTTCCACTGTTTTCTAATTGATACATAGACTAAAGTATGAAACATCAAAGATCATCCAAGGTCACACAAGGCAAAAATTTCTAGAAACATCAAAGAAGTGGTGTATGAAAGCTTAGATTAAGACATTGTTTGTGAGAAGAAATTAAACAGACAAAGTCAATGACTCACTGGAATGGATAATATAGACCTTGAAGCTGTTGAGCCCGGAAGAAATGATTCCCATATCATCTGCCCATCAGGCAGGTTCCAAGCTCTTAAATATTTTCCACCAGATGACAGAGTAATAACATCTGAAAAGGAATATGGAAATAATCCTCCATGAGATTAGAGTGCAGGCCAAATAGATCCCAGAAAACTTGTGGGAATAATGATTAATAAAAGGATTACCTCCTTTTCTTATCTGCATTGACTAATAAGAATCTAGAAAATATTTACAACTATTTTTGCTTTCATTTCATTAAACATTTTTATTTTCATGTCTCTCACACTAGGCCAATATTAAGATAGACATTCAAAAACTTCCAATTTGTCAGATTATCCTTTTAAAGTTTGGGGATGAGGGGGTCATACACTCAGTACTGCAAGTGAAGGATCGTTGGGATAAGAGTTCTCTTTATGTGGACAATAATTATCATTGTTCCTTCATACTCCCAACTCTAACATGTAGTTCCTTCACAGTTCCAACTCAGAAAAACCTACTCTGATTGATATAAGAAAGATAAAACCTCAGATCTCAGAATGTGCTTGCTAAGATCAGAAAACATCCTAAGTTGAGAAGTAGTGGACGCAGTATAAAATTGACCATGAAAACTGCTCCAGGTAAGTGTCATAATATGAAAGCTCCAAAGCAAGAGAGAAACTTATACGGTTAAAGGTACAATAATCTGCGTAATCAGGAAGCAAAACCTAGCAGGTTCACAGGCTCTGACATCCAGACCATTGGCACTAGGATTACAGGGTACATATCTTATTCACTAACTGTTCACAAAAGATTCTGTGTGATCCTTAATTAAAAGAACAGGAGGAATATCTCGCCTACTTAAATAAATTGACTATCCGTGTAACCATCTGCTGAAGATGCCTTCTAGGAATGCAAAACTTATTGTTCTGTGAGCTTAAGGAATTGAGAGACAATCCAAAACTCAGAACCAAAAAACTAAAAGCAATAGGAAATATAAATATTACATTTTCCAAGGGCGATATCAAGTTCATTGACGGTGTCATTAGAACCCAAAACATGCCTCCAAACTGCAACATGGAAATTCAGAATCAGTGGACAATCAACATTCTGTGCAAAACGAATCCCCACTAAATCATTGATTCAATTTTAAACAAAAATGCAAAGTACTGACAAATCTCTCCGCGGCGAAGATCGAGCGAAGCGATGACGTTCTCCTCTGTGGAGACCACCACGCGCTTCCGCCCGGCCTTTTGAGTGTGGAAAACTGCGTGCTTCACCTTGCCTATGTACTGCTGATGCCTAACATCAATAATCAACTGGTTACCCAAGCTACTTTTTACCTCAATATCAAAACATAAAGCATTCGAAAACCCAGTAGCACGGAAGAAGATAGCAAGGCATACCAGTCCATGAGACCCACTTGGTCTTGATAGAGGGAGAAAGTGGGGTGAGAGAGCGATAAGAAAAAAAGGAAGAGAAGCAAAACCCTAATCCTAATCGCCATGGCCATGGCGATTAGTCCTTAGCCGCTGAACGTTTTAGAGAGCGACGGACAAAGATCAACAGATCTAAGAAGGCGAAGTTTACAAAAGGAAACTCTGCCTCGCGAGGAGTTAATTAAGATTTTTTAGACCCATTGAGGTGCCCAGGAGCAGGGCTGTGGGTGCTCTACATACTGTATCCAAAACGACACCGTCTAAGGTGAGTCAATAATCGCTATGTAGCCGGCCGGCTGCGATTCCCGAGTTCCTTGTTCCTTGTTCCTTTCTGGGTTAATTACATTTACCTCCCCTGAGGTTTGACCATATTACCAAGCAATCCCTGTAATTTGTCCAAATAACGGTGTCACCCTTTGAATGATCAAACATTTAACAAAAACCCCCTTAATGCCGAAAATGCCCTTATTGAAGCCATATTACATTAAAAAAAGAACATATTTTTATTTTATTAACCCTGAAGCAATCCAAAAAAATAAAAAAAAGTTTTTTGCTTATTATTTTATAAAAACCATATCTTTGCTTCCATAAATAGTTTTGAATCAATAATTATTTTAAATCTTAAAAATGAATATTAAAAATTAGATAAATTGAAAGAAAAATAAAAAAAACAATTATTTTAATTCCTGGAGTATGGTTCGAATTTGTTCAAGGCATGTTGCGGAGAGCACAAGGCATGTTTTCCTCAATTTGAACCATACTCCAGGAATTAAAATAATTTCTTTTTTTATTTTTCTTTCAATTTATCTAATTTTTAATATTCATTTTTAAGATTTAAAATAATTATTGATTCAAAACTATTTATGGAAGTAAAGATATGGTTTTTATAAATAATAAGTAAAAACTTTTTTCTATTTTTTTGGATTGCTTCAGGGTTAATAAAATAAAAATATGTTCTTTTTTTAATGCAACATGGCCTCAATAAGGGCATTTTCCGCATTAAGGGGGTTTTTGTTAAATGTTTGATCATTCAAAGGGTGAAACTGTTATTTGGACAAATTACAGGGATTGATTGGTAATATGGTCAAACCTCAGGGGAGGTAAATGTAATTAATCCTTCCTTTCTTGTTTTCTTATTATTATTATTATTATTATTTACTTTTCCCCATATTTTTTGTCCTGGTAAATTAAGATCTGTTATTAGTACCCTGTATCGGATTTAACGGGATTAAGTTTATAATCTGTTCTTAGCTAGTTTTTCCTGATGCGATCGGTGATTCTAGTTGTAAGTTTACGTTTTATGCTTTACACCGTGCGACCCCCAACATCAAATATTAACATGGATCAAGTTTTTAAATAGTGTTAACGTAGAATATATATATATATATATACATCGGATGTTGCAGATATATGCCGCTTTAGCTGTTGTAGATTTATGCTGCACGTGTAAAAATTACAGTTGAAATTTGAAACCATATACAAATTCCACCCTATAATTTTACAGTTTAGCAAAACTTGTAACTTGATTTCTTCAAAAAATAAACTTTTTATGCGCTGACCATGCAATGATTTTTTATACAAATAATTTTGGATATATGTCACATGTACATGTTTAGAATTTTAAATTTGAATTTATGTTACATGTCGTATGAATTTATGTTACGTGTCGTATGATTTAAACATGCTAGTATAAAAACATTTACACTAACAATGTATAAAAAAATTATCCCTCTTTCAAGTGACATGAGCCTTTTTAATTTACTTCAAAGGTGCATAAAATAATCAAGACACAATATAAAATATTTATCATGTAATTTATGCAAACTATGAGATGACATTGCCAAAAATCGGATGAAAATTATTTAATCTAGCTAAATTATAGTTCTCTTGGTAAGGCTTGCAAAATTTTCACCTGCTCCACTAGCTTTTTCAGTTTCATTTCACTACCTTGCCTAATAACTAAAATGGGATTAGTACCGACTTGTTTATGAATAACTACTACGTATAAGCTTGCAATAAGACTACTATGGTTTGTTGACGTATGGAAGGACCGTTCAAGCAATCAACTGTTCCGGCCCAAGACATAATGGATCAAATATATAATACGAATGTGCTAGGCTCTGTATGGGTTTAAAATAGATAGCGGAAACTAAAATGGATTCAAGTTGGCAATATGAGACTAAGCCTGATATGAGTCGTGCCCACGCCATTTTCTTAAACCCTCCCCCTTTCTTCCCATATCCTTCCCTGCTCTAGTTGCCCACATTACCTGATACTAGTTGGTTTGGGCCTCGCTGTAAGCGCGAGGGTGCTTCGACTTCATTGTTTGAATGTGTTTGATAAATGAAAATCTATCTACTGAACTTGTTAAGCAGTGCTAAACTTATGTGTATTTTTTTTCAGCACAAGAATCCAAACTGAATGATTAATTCTAATAAGAATCAATAAATTTACTTCAACCATCTTATCTTATCTACCAAATCTACCATTGTTTGTTAATTATGTTCAAAAAATTTATCTAATTAAACAATCTAATATTCTCTATCTAACGATTTTTAGTTTCTCTTTTCTCCCTTTTTAATGACTTTTACATCTTTTCCACACTCCTCATATAATATATTTAATCTTTTTATATTAATTTGATTTAAAAATAAATATTGTCATTTTCATACCTAATAATTTTAAACTAATTAAATCATAGATTCTATTTCTTTTTTTAATGAAAAGATACAAGGGCAAAATTGTCAAATTAAACTTATTAAGCATTCAATTATAAATATTTATCAAACAATATACATAGGTTTAGCATTAAAATTCAAACATTCATATATTTCTTTTCAGTGCTTAAAATTCAGCAAATTAATTGTTTCAGCATTCAAATTTCATAATTCAAATTCAGTTTTATCGAATGGAACCTAGGCTTGATATGAGTCGTGCCCATGCCATTTTCTTAAACCCTCCCCCTTCGTCCCCATGTCCTTCCCTGCTCTAGTTGCCCACATTACCTTATACTAGTTGGTTTGGGCCTCGCTGTGAGCGCAAGGGTGCTCCGACTTCGTTGTTTGAATGGGTTTATAGAGTTTTGGTATTAATTTTAGGGATAATTTTAGAAACCTCTCTTGAAATTTTTAATAGTTTTACTTAGTACCCTTGAAGTTTTAAAAATTACACATACTTCCCTTAAATTTACCATTTTGCCAACAAAAACTATTCAATGGTAGAATTTGTGAATGAATAACCCAATTTGCCCTCATTAAATCGTGAAGTTCATTTTACCTTTTTATAAAATTTTATAAAAATATATGGAATATGTACAAAATCTCAAACTTACTTTCAACATTTATCTCTACTATTTTAACCATTTTATATTCCTACATCTCAAATTAGTACTATTATCATCATGACCACAGTTACCATCAATTCTTAAATTCTAAAATCTCAATCTAAGTTACAAAAGGGAAAAAAAATCAATACTGTTAAACTTAACAGATTTCACTAGTTGTATTAATATAATATCTCATCCCTCAAATGTTGGACTACCATTTCATGCCCGTTATATTTAAATCTTCAACTTACATTTTCTTCTAGTCATCTTTAGATCTTTCAAGCCAAACTAAAATTACTTTGTAATATGTTATAATTATATTTAGGACATAATTAGTTATTCTATAAGTGACCTTGTTTTTGTTTCCATTAAATATTTAATTGTGTGGTGCATTCCTATGCACAAAGATGAGGAGCGAGCGTATTATTTAATTGAATGAAAAATATTAATATATCAAGGTTATTATGATAATTTTATAGGGTCATGAAAGGTAAGTGTAATATTGAAAATCTCAAGGGTACTAGATGAAACTGTCAGAAATTTGAGAGAGGTTTTTGAAATTATCCCTTAATTTTATGTAGGCAATATATGAAGTTGCATCTTACACATTGATAGATGAACAAATCATGTTTACATATGGCCTTGAGCAAACTGTCGTGAAAAGCCATCAAAAGTTACAACAGTCACTTGGGATGAACAAAAGCATGTTGCTAGCTAATACATATACGTTGCTTGTGCTAGCTTTGGTGCTGATAATGCTTGGAGGTTGTCTTTGGCATTCACACAATATACCATCTACATTTTGATCCTTTTAGGTCGAAGTTGATTTAGTCAGTTTTTTTTTTTTTTTCACGTTTGGATGGATTCTTGCTTGCTACTGGGAGGGAAGTAGAAGAACTGAAGGGGATGGCGTCAGGTGCGGAATCAACCTGGCTGACCATGAATGTTTTTTTTTTTTTTTTTTTTTATACTGATGCATAGCGTGATGATGTAGCACAATTGGTTAGACTTTTTTTTTCGGAAACGACAACAGTTATATAATCTAATCTATTTTACACTAAGAGAGAGGGGGCAGACCTAAAAATGCCTAAAGATAATCCGGAAGGGACTAAACCACCACCGGATTAAATCGGTGCACAACACACCCGCTTGAATTTTTTGAAACAAATCACTTAAATGTGGCATTTTGGTAAAAAGGAGAAAAGCGCGTAGCAGCAAACAAGGAAAGAAGTCATACGTCCAGTGTCCACCGCACCGGCCATCACACCGTCAAAGATTTTGAATGGCAACTTTAGCCATGCAAAGACGAACAGACTATAATAAACCCAACGTTTCCTATTGTCACTAATTACTCAATCAGGGACAAAACTAGAATCGAAGGGTATAATAGTCAGAAAAAATGCAACAAGAAATTCCAGCCACACATGTGTACCTCCTCCATCCCCCCTTTTTTTTTCTCTCTCTCTATATATCCCAAACCTGCCAACTAGGATTTGAACCATGGTGTATCAGACGAGAATTTAACTCAACATTGGCATGCACGAAAAAACATGTGTGACACAATCAAATATCGTATTTTTTTGTTTGATAGATAAGAAATTTATTGATGCTATGCAAAACTACAAAAAAGGCATACCCATCTATCAAATATAGGCTCCGTTTGGCAAGCAAGTGAATTTTTTGGGTATTTATCTAAAATTTTACTGTGACTTACTATAAAAATTTTTTAAAAAATTTTTGAAGTGTATAAAATTTTAAATATTTTAAAATATATAGTTTAAAAATTTTGAATTTTTTTTTAGATTACAGTAATTAAAATTTTTAAAAAATTTGTAATAAATAAACTTAACAAAAAACTCAAGTGCCAAATAGGGTCGTACCTTTCCCACGTGATTTTGATAGTTTCTTTCATTAAGATAAAAGGTGTAATTTCCTTTTTTTTTGTTGTTATTATTAAAAATCGACCATCATAAAGTTGATGCTCTTCGGTCACCATGCCATCATCAACCGGTCCCACGGATCGTACAGTAATTGATAACTTTCCTCGTATTCGGATAAAACGAGGAAACAAAATGTTGGATATACTTGAGCCAGAGGTTCAAACAATTCAGCCGTCAATGCATGAAACGAAATCTTTAAATGGGATCCTGTTTTACCTGCTCACCAGAATCCGCCAGCCATATTCAAAGCACTGGTGTAAATACACAATGCCTACGAAGTTACTTTTATTATGAGGAAGTTGCATTCGACTTCAATTGAGAAACTAATTAATTACATTGATATAAAAATTTTTAAAAAAAGTGAAATCTATCTTTAAACAAACAGGTCGTTCTTTTACGGATGGAAAATAATTATATTGTAGTAGTAAAAGATAAAACGAGTGTGATAAATTGGAGGAGTAGGAGAGAGAGAGAGGAGAGTAGTAGGGTTAAGTGTTGGTGTAAGGTCCGTTGAAGAGGGCGGGGGTTGTGGTTAAGGTCTGGTTAGGAAATAAGGCGATCCTTGTGTTTAGTGTGATGCGGTGAGAGCCACCTCTTTGGGGAGATTTGAAGTGGTCTTTAGGGGGTTTAGGTCCACTACACTTTTCACTTACCCTTCTCTCTCTCTCTCTCACTCTGCTTCTGCGCTGGCTTTCTGCCCTTTGTTTCACGTGCATACAAAACCCGCAACCCTTTTGCGTGTACATCACATCCATCCACAAGTCAAAATTGTCAATTACAATTACGGGTCTGGTACCTCACAAATTGAAAAAAAACCCGATTCCCAGTCACCAGTCATATAATATATATATATATATGTCACTAACTTGCGATGTACGTACAAATAAAATAAATAGGAAAATCAATTAATTGAATTTTATGCCAACAATTATACTTCATTATATGATATATATTCGTTGATAATATGATGAAATTTGCATGGAGATAGTGAAAAAACAAGTAAAGCTGATTTTATTAGTTGCAGGATAAATATAATTTTTCGGTAATTATCTAGAGGTGCGGCAAGCATTTATTGTGAATAAATAGAGCATTTGACCTAGTCACATTATTTTTGACGAATGATAATATTTATTACGAGTAAATAAAACCTATCGAATTTATTGCCCTCAATTATATTTGTCATATAATTAAATCTTCTTTTTAATTGACAAACTCATTTCATGTCTGCGAAGATAAAGATAATTTTATTCATTGTAACTTTTAGTTGACAGACACATTAAGAGGATGACAAGACCTAAACCTAATGTTACAGCCTACCTCCGTTATGTTTCCAGGCAAATCCGGCTTTTTTCATCCTAACCATTGTACAAACCCAAATAGGTATCAGTATCACTAGGCTCCGGGGGAGTAATTAATCCAAACCGAGTTCCCGATCCGAAGGTCCAAACGACGCTCCTGATGCGAGCGTGAGAAGAGAAGATACGCCTCCTTTCAGCCCTCGCTGTCTCTATCTCTCTCTCACTCCGGTATCCGCATAGCGAAACACGCCACAAAACTCCCGCGGCCATGCAAAAATCCGAACCATCATGCTTACTCTCCTCACTTCACTCACCTGAGTCCTGACCCTGTTCCCCAGCGCCCCCCAGCCCTCTCATTCCACAGTCCACTCCCCCCCCACCCTGAGTCTGTCTGTATCGTCGTCTCATCATCACCGAAACCAAAAATCACCAGCATTACCATAAATCATCATTCCCCCCTCCAAATTCCTATAATCCCATTCTCTTCATCCTCATCCTAAAATTCCACCCCACCCCCCCTCCCCTCCATTATGACTCCCCTCTTCCTCATTAACGACGTTTTCTTTTAGAAGAAAACAACAAAAATTCCTCCCTTATAAAAACCTCTCCTCTCTTACACTCCATCATCTGTTCACTACCAACTTCCATTTCCCAATTCCCAAAGCCAGCGCTCCTCTGTCACTTCTTTGTCCTTTCACCAAGTCTTCCAGTGGTTTCCTTTTCTTCTCCTTCTCGTTTCCTGATTTAGTTCTCTGTAACGTATAAAATTCTCAGTTGTTGTGTTAGTGCGTGTGTTTTGTTTCAGCGGTTTGACGTCGTCGTTTTCCTAAATTAATTCTAAAAAGAAAATCCAAAAAAAAAGGAGACAATGGCGGCCGCTTCCATGACGATTTCGGCGCCGGCCTCCCTCTACGTCGGCGACCTCCACCCTGACGTCACCGACGCCCAGCTTTTTGAGGCCTTCTCCGAATTCAAGTCTCTCACTTCCGTTCGTATCTGTCGCGACTCCTCCACTGGCCGTTCCCTCTGCTACGGCTACGTCAACTACACCTCTCCCCAGGACGGTATATTTCATTGCTATCTAATTTTCTCTGTATACGTATTCGTCTGAGATCGTATACGGGTTAATTCACTGACTCACTCACGCACACCTCCACCTCTGATACATGCATGCATGTATGTGATGTCTGTGCTATGTATATGTACAACTTTTCTAATTGATTTGTATCTGCTGTAACGCCAAGTTGATTTATTCGTCCTTTGATGGAATTCATTTTTACTGTCTGAATTTGACCGAGTTGATATATATTTGATCAGGATGATTATTATTATTTTGTTTGGTCACGCCTTCCTGATTGATCGGTAAATTTGTAATTTGTGCAATGTTTGGCAATGTTCATCTGAAGCACTTGCAGCATCAAACGCTTTTTTGTTGGTACACAGGAACTAGTAGTTCACTTATTATTTATCGATTATGATTGTATGTTGCTGTGATTGCTTTTTCTCAGAAAATTTATGCGAATTGAGAAGTGTGCCATGGATGAGTGTGGTTAGCGTCATGGAATTTTGCGGGTGTAGATTTAGGTGTCTCCAGTTGACGGATAAATTGGTTTCTCGTCTGTTTATTATTATGATTGTTTTCCCGTTGCAATTTCTTTGACATGTTATTGTAGCCACTCACTTATATGTCGGTTGATTGCTTTTTTGGGCCAAACTGTGCATCTTGTGCCATGCAGAAGTTTAGCTTATATATCTGACTGTACCTTGTGGTGGTTTGTAGTATTTTTCTAGTGGAATAAAGTCTTATCTTTTGATTTGTAAGTTATAAAATCATTTCACATTTTTGTGTTTGTTCATGGAACTTGTTGCGATACATCTTTTTTTATTGTGATTTATCAAAGTAAGGGTTTTTTTTTAATTTATGTTTAATCATGCTCTTTTTTCTTTTTGCCTCCAATTCTGAAAATTTGAGCAGCTTTTTGTGCAATTGGGGCAAGGAACCATTCTACATTAAATGGTAAAGCAATAAGGGTTATGTGGTCACATCGTGACCCAGAGGCAAGAAAAAGTGGAGTTGGCAATGTTTTTGTGAAGGTACATGTGTTCAATGTTTTATATCTTTTATTTATTGCTTGATATGTGTCTTTTGCTACAAAAACGTATTTACCAGTCTGTTATCGTCTTCAGAATTTGGGTGACTCTATTGACAGCGCAAAGCTTCAAGAAATGTTTAAGCCATTTGGAAATATATTGTCCTGTAAAGTTGCCATTGCTGATGATGGGAATAGCAAAGGATATGGATTTGTTCAATTTGACTCCGAGGATGCTGCAAATTCTGCTATTGAGAAGCTCAATGGCTCAGTTATTGATGACAAAGAATTGTATGAGCGATTTCATTAATTCTTCTACAAATGCTGAAATATACTTCTGTCTTTGCTATAGTATAAGTAGATTAGCAATGTCGCACAATATGTCCACACCACAAATGCACTCTTGTGATTTTCAGATTATGGTCTTTTCCTACGATTTTTTATATTTGAATGTCTGCAATATCTTATGTGTAGGTTCGTTGGTAAGTTTGTCAAAAAGAGTGACCGAGTTTTACTCAATCCGAATGCTAAATATACAAATCTTTACATGAAGAACTTAGACCCTGAAATCACTGAAGACTACCTCAATGAAAAATTCTCTGAGTTTGGGAAAATTGTTAGCCTGGTCATCTCAAAGAGTGAAAATGGGGCTTCAAAAGGTTTTGGTTTTGTGAATTTCGAGAGTCCACATGATGCTAGGCGAGCAATGGAGGCCATGAATGGGTCACAACTTGGTAGGTTATGTTTTGTTGGCAATTGTATTTCTGAACAGATAATTGTTGCACATGATCTAATCTTTGAACATGTTGGATATATTGTGTAGGCTCGAATGTACTATATGTCGCCAGGGCACAGAAGAAAGCAGAGCGTGAAGAGTTCCTGCGCCGTCAGTTTGAGGAGAGGAAAAGGGAGCGAGTGTTGAAGTATCAGGTTCCCTGACTCCCGGTTTTCTAGGTGGTTTGAATATTACTTATTGGTTTCCTTTTTCTAACCATACTTGGTCAAACTTGCTCATCTCAGGGTTCAAATGTGTATGTCAAGAACATAGATGATGCAGTAACTGATGAAGAGCTGCGTGAACACTTCAGTTCATGTGGCACGATTACTTCTGCGAAACTTATGAGGGATGATAAAGGAATCAGCAAGGGCTTTGGATTTGTTTGCTTCTCCAATCCCGAGGAGGCTTTCAATGCTGTGAATACCTTTCATGGTGAGTATGTGAATCTGTTGTTCTTTTCCATATTATGGTGAAATTTAGGTGTTAAAAGGTGTTTCAAATCTGGAAAGTTAACTTATTATGAATCTGAGTCAAATAGGGAAAGTACGCAAGTTGTATTTGGGATGACTGAGGAAATTAAACCTCAGTCATGTCCAAGTATCATCATTGTTTGGTGAATCTGAGAATAGTGTTGCTGTGCATCAGTTGATACTTCATTCATTGCGACCTATATTACAACTGTATTCCCTGAGTACTTAGGAGCAGCTATGCATGAAAGCTACCATTTTTAGGTCTATACCTGTTTCATTTTTTAGCAACCAGAAATGGCCTTATTTGCGAATCATATGGAAGACTTAACTCTTTTTCCAATTTGTGATGCTTCACTTTTTCATTTGCTTCAGCATGTGTGCATGTCCAAAGTATGATAATTGCTATGATATTCCAGGCCTCATGTCCCCTCCTTCCATATCTTTTTTCCACGACATTTGAAATTGCAAAGCTAGTGACAATTCTTTCTCTGAGAATCCTCTAATGAAGGAACTTTTTTTTTTTTGTTATAAAAATTTTGTACAGGATCTATGTTCCATAAAAAGCCATTGTATGTTGCAATTGCTCAAAGAAAAGATGAGAGACAGGCCCAGTTACAGCTACAATATGGGCAAATGGCAGGAATAGCTGGACCTTCCACTGTTATTCCAGGTGGATATCCACCACTTTACTACCCAGCACCTTCTGTTGTTCCTCCAGTCGCTGGACAAACAGGTCTAATGTATCAGCCCATAGGAATGAGGCCAGGATGGAGGCCTAATAGTTTTACAAATTCAAGCAGACCTGCTTTCCAACCAGCTCAAGTTCCCTTGGTTAGTTTTTTTATAATTTGAATAGCTGGGGTCATAATGTTTTCTCTTTTCACACACGAAAAACATGAGCTTTTTTGTGCCACTGTGTTGGACAGTATGAAGTTAGTTCATAGCTGCGAGGGAATACAATTGTGTCAAAAGATTCTGCATTTGTAGTCATGTCTATTTTAATTAGTTGGTTATCTGTTATCTGTTACAGATTCCTAATGCTCCAAGACAGCATAGGCAGAACAGAGGAAGGATGGGTGGGCATACGCATCCACAAGGTGGTGGTCAGAGTGTTTCATATGTGCCACATGCACAACAGTCTGGTCAGTTTATGGCTTCATCGAGAGAATCAGGCAATCAGCAGGTATGTTTGTGATTAAATATCTCGTCTCACTTATTCTAATATCCTCAGCAGTTATTTAGTTCTCTTAGTATTCCATTAATCACCATGCAGATGTTCACACACTTACCTTATTGGTCTGTGTATATGCCTGCATATGCAAGATCATGGTTTCCTAATTTTTGTATTAAACTAAGTTTTCGTCTGCAGACACATAAGTTCCAAATCTGTTACCGTGTTATGTTTAAAGTTGATGTTTTTTTGGTATCTATTTTGTCCAACCTACCCTCATTAGGACCAAATCTTCATAGAGATGATTATGAGCTTAGTAATAGGTGGTTTCTATAGTGAAAGGAAGCTTTAGAGCCTCTTTTCTGGTAAATTGTGCTGACGCAGATGCACACGCTTTTATGTGTGCGATATTAATTTCTATCTTATGAGATTCACGGCCAAGATTTGTCAATACTCTTTCTCCTGAATAAATTTACAGAATTGATGCATTTGTAAGAATACAAAATTTTCATATCCTCTTTGCTTAGTTGCTACAATGCATGATGATTAACGTTTACATTGACATAAACGACAGACAAAAGAATCATTTGATCACTAAGTTACTTCTTTGTTTCCAGGTTTACATGCAAATTTCCTTGTTTATGTTTAAGAATTGTGCGATGCTTGTTTAGAAAATATGCACATTTTGATGTATAATGCAGCGTGCTAAGTACAACCCAACTGGTCGTGTGCGGGAGATGAATAAGGCATCTGCTGTACCTTCTGCTAATGCAAGTGCTGCTCAACCTGTGCCCATTGTATCTGGGCTGGAGGGGTCACAAATGTTAAGTAGTATGCTTGCTGCTGCTTCTCCTGAAAATAGGAAGCAAATCCTAGGGGAGCGCCTTTTTCCTCTTGTCAACCAGCACAAGGTGAAGTTCATTGTTGCAATTCTTTTCTCATTCTTTCTGAGCTCATGATGCCTTTTTTTTTAATCTTTATTTAATTAGCATTGAAATGCGGTAATTTAACTTTCCAATGACGACATTACATTTTTGATTAGTTATAACCATTTACTTTGTGGTTCTTGCAGCCTGATCTTGCTGCAAAAGTAACGGGTATGCTTTTGGAGATGGACAACTCAGAGCTACTCCTCCTGCTGGAATCACCAGAATCACTGGCTGCCAAGGTGGAAGAAGCTGTTGAGGTGCTAAAGCTGTCAAAGTCCAAAGTATCTAGCAGCCAAGAAGCACTTCATTCAAATTACCTCTCCGCTGGGGTTGCTGTTAATTGAGGCTAATAGCCTGATTGAGTGCAGTAAGTTGGAGAAGTTAGAGAGCTTGTGAATGCTGGAGCTTTGAGTGAGCAAGGTTTTGAGAGTGACTATTGATGAAACTCTATTTCTTTGATGAAAATTAGGCCAGCTATTTTCTTAAAAGGGGCGTAAAATTGAGAGAAACGTTATGGATAGTCTTGTAAAAGTTTTCTTCTTATATAGGGAGCTTAACTGATAACTTGAAGGAGATTGTTGCAAACCTGAGTCTTTAGCGATAGTGTAGAATAAATAAGACCTTACATGATGGTTTTTCTTCTCCTAAATTTCTGCTTATTTGTGATTTGTTGATTTTTGGTAGAGCAAGAAATGCAGTACGGTTGGTGAACTAGAGTTCACCGGCCATGTTAAGTGCTCACTGGGAAGATTTTTCTTTCCCACAGTAATCTCTACAGACATGATTTTTGTGAAAAGGTCAATCCTATGTGGACGACGGTTATTTGCAGAGGTGGGTGAAACTGAAACCAGTAGCATCGAGCTTGGGGGCTATGATTTAGTCGTAGCTTGTGCCGATTCATTTTGATCGAATGGGTTTTTTTTTTGGGGGGGGCTTTATCATGATATATTTCAGCTGGGATGTTGGGCTCGAACTGTCAAGTCCATCGATTGCGCATGGCATGTCCTCTCGAATGCATACTATGAAGTAGAACCGCACAAAAGTTGGTTTCTCGACAGATTTGAGTGCACATGTCTGCTCGTTTAGCCGTCTGTCTAGCAAATTCCAATCCTGCAAAAGAACCAGAGTAGTAGGGTTGTTGTAGTTGTCTCCACAACCAAAAACCTGCGGAATGGAAACACCCTAAGTTGAGGTCAGCGCTTTGAATCCTATGACCGAAACGCAGAATGATGTTTGATGTCTGTAATGCTGTCTGGCTGCCTCCCTTCCACCGGATCTATTTGGAGAAGTCGTGAGATACAGCATCCTGAAAGATGGCAGCATTCCTGAATTGATTTCCCAATGCCAGCCATTGCTTTGACTAGCAATGATTAAAAAACAAAACGTGGGAAGCAATCAGCAATTAGGTCCGTCTTTATATTGCAATCTGCAAGTTTGCAACCACCCACCCAACCCCCCGGGCGGGAGTATTCTTAGTCGTGTTTTCAAAATTTACAGGTTTGAGTACTTAATTTCATGCGATTTTTGATTAACACAGCAATCAAATCAAGTACAAAATCTTCAAGCAGACTATATATATATATATATCTAAATTTTCAAATATAGGCTATGTTGGAAGGGTTGAGCATTAAAGTTTGCAATTCTCGTGAACTTTCCATTACCGTGGTCATTTTTTTTTTTTCCTGTTTTTCTTTTCTACAACAATACTAAGTATGACCACATGTGACTTTAAACTTGACATGGTAGTTTCTGAAACTTGACAGATAAAATAGATGGGGTGACCGTTACTTCATGACGAGAATGCTTCAGGACCATCAATTATCTCATGTACACGATGAGTCCTCTTTAGCACTTTTTCATTAAACCTACTGAAGCTCGAATTTTATTACCATACAAAACCCGGAAGACTTAAAAAAGTTAAGCAGCAATAAAAAGCCACAAGCAAAATCGCGAGAAACCTTGTAAAACTCGTTCTCCCACTAGAGTGGAGGTAGTAAACAGAAAATGGCAAATTTTAAATTTTTTTTGGTGCTCGTGATGACGACAGCCCGAATGCAGCTTATACGTACATCCCCCTCGGAGCCAGCCCGCAGCCCGCAAGCCGCAAGGAGCGGATTATTGTAACTCTCTCTCTCTCTCTCTCTTTTTTTTTTTAACACTTCATGCCAACCAGTACTAACAGTTGTAGTATTATGCCAAGTACAAGGAAACTTTGTCCAATGAATGCCTAATTATAACCTGCAGCTGATATCCTTTTATAAGCATGAATGCGAAATGCAATGCCAACAGACTTAACCTGTTGAACCTTTCACACATACTTTCCACTCAAAGTGAGCATCTGATCCCAAGCATGTCTTTTTCACGTCTTTCCATCTCACTAGTATCCATATGCAGAATCCCTTTACAGTCTCCTTGAATCATCAAAACTGAAAGGGTCTTCTTGCTATACATATACCTCTTTATTCTCTTCGTATCCACAGATTATCTGGATATTCAGAGATCACAGATATTCGCACTTTATTGCATTCCTTTCAAAATATACTAAGATATGTTGTGCAGCCTTATCTTGAATGCTGATGGCAGCATGCCACCAGCAATAAAGGTGCAACATGGTTTAGGATCACTTGCGCACTTTGGAGCACGTTCTTCATCAACATGTCCAGAGCTCTCTCCAGGCACCTGTGGCAAAGACTAGATGGGAGTACAATTGAGAGGAGAGACCATGAGACGAGGTGAACAATAGTATTAGAAGAAGTTAGGTTAAAAGGGAGTGTCTGGTTCAACCAGAGTCCCTCACTTCTTGGCAAGTCTTCGAGTGATGCAAGTGCCAGGCACCCAGTGTGATGGTTGCAAAACCATGCGTTGCAAGGAAGGCATAACTCTGAGGATAAGGTAAGAGCTCCCGTTGAAGGAATCAAAATAGAGTTTCTGAGAGTTTGGGTCACAACGTACATGATAATCTGAATCACCACAGGAAGAATTGATGCTTAATGGATGTGGAATTTCTAGAGAGCCACAGCTTGGGCAAGTTTTCTGGGGTGAAGAATAATGAAAGAAGTGGAGAAATAGCAGATACACGCACAAACTAGATAGTTTCCACTGGGAAATACTCATGGTCATGTTGTAGGAGAATGGGAAGAGGTCGAAAACACAGCCATACAAACAAGAAAGCGGGGGTTAGATAAAGGCTAAGCAAAAACAATAATATGTGAAATGAAAATGAAAAAGTTGGTGGACGAATCCTTGGTAACAATAATGAGAATATTGCAATCATATGTTACTGGATTCTTAGACTATTTTGCCCAGGACTTAGAGACTAGTATTAAAAATATGCTTTCCTTACAACTGAATGTTTACCAGTTAAATTACCCATTGGCCCCATGCTTTGATGAAAAGGTAAGCAAACGGAACAATTTAACAAAGAAGGAATATGAGAATTAATTCTTACAACAAATGAGATTTGGAAAAGAAACTTCCTGACAGAAATTATGAAGTCAAAGGTGAAGCATTTACGCATCTAATAAATACACTTAATGTGCAAGTACAATCAATCACCATATATTAACAATGCAACTTATGCAAGATAGAAAATTCTGTGTAATATAAAATTCAATTACCGCTAATGAGAGTGAAGTGGAAGAAAACTGCTTACTCGTATAGTGATCTGCTCCTGCACAGTGGATAATGCTGTAAAGAAAGTGATAATCATGTAGGGAGACCCCTGCATGTTTGGATTGCTTTTTTTTCTTTTTGTTTGGGAGGGGGGGGGGGGTGTTGGGGGGACTGCTCGGATATCTGACTTACCCAGTGCAAAACCAAAGTGTTAAGCATGGTGAGACAGTATAGCAGTTCAACTCAATATCCTTATACAATTTTCTTCAACTAACCTCCACGTAATTGACAGCGGTTTTCCTAAGTATCATGTTCAATTTGATTCTTTTATAACTCTTCATGGTTTCACTTCTAATTCAAACTACAGCAGCAATAGATAACACAGAGTGCTGTTCCCACAGATTTCAGAAATATGATCTCATGACAAAGAAGATTTTGAAGGATCTAAACAACATGTAATAGTTACAATAAATGGAGCATTTAATAAAAATGTAACTAGGAAGGACTTTTCCAGCGGATAGAAAAAAGAGGCAGCTTGGGGACAATAATAAGAAGAAAATACAGTATCTTATCAGTTTCGTCCATGATGTTGCAGATTCCTATTTTTTATGAAATTGCATCACAGGCATCAGGAATCTAATTATCCTTCAATGACTTTAACTGGAGATCTGCACGAAAACAGTTACAATATCGATTAAGCTAATTTTGAGGAGAATTGAGGCTAGAATATGGAAGTTTGGTAGGGGAAACTAAAAAAGCCACCGAAAAACTAAAATGCAATAAACATGTTACATACCCAAATGGGCTTTGTTTGATAGACAGTAGTTCAACATCCAACTGCATTTCAATAAGAGTTAACATAGTAAGAATAGTAGAGATAGGGTTGTAAACGATTCCTCTAAAAGAAAAAGAGGTAACAGCATTCTGAATTGAATAGGCTAAAAAATTCAAGACAAACAAAATTTTCAATTATATTTTCATACGATAGCAGCAGTATAGGAAAACTGAGGTCAGTCACTGTTGTGTTGAACTGTTAATGAGCTTGGAAAAATTAAATACGGAATAACTTCATTATTCCCCATCAACCAAGCTGCATGATACTTGTTATTCAGTTCAAGCCCAACTGATAACCTAAGGGTCACATTATTAGGACATGCAAACCGAGAATCAAATTTACACTCTCGGCATTGTTGATATCCAATTAACCATTGCATACTGACAGAAGAACTTAGTCAATAACCAGATCACTGCAAGGGTATAGGATCTTGATTGAAACTGCATTGGAGGACGACAATCCAACACATTAAAGACGAGGTAACGTAGTTTCTAGTATTTGTCATACTTCACAAAGCATGAATGTTGATCAACTTATTTTGCACGCCCATAAATCTAACAGCAGGAAAAAACCCCATATCTATGGATACCGTATTCGTTCAATATCATGAGAACAATGTTTTCTGAAAACAAAATCAAATGTTAAGACAAGTGAATGGAGGCAAATTTACCATTCTAATCAGGGAAACCTTCACAGATGCTAGTAAGCCCAAAGAAAGTAAATTGTAGATGGAATGAAATTTCACTCTCCTCTCTGGTATTGTAAATCTTTTATTCTTTTTTGAGTTACCTTTCACCATTTTGGTTTACGATTCCATGCAGGTTGAAGACAGAGGTTAGCTGCCTACAATCAATATGGAATGGACGGTACATGTGGCATAGTGGGTCAGGTAAGCATAGAAGCCTAGTTGAGGACAGCTTTTTAGGATGTATTGTAACTTTTTATCAGCCTACTATTATATCTTGGCTTGTTACAGAAGATAAACTTCTTTTTAAGGATAATTCTCATAGAGATGTTCGCAAGATTTTCAAGTTTCCTTTGCTGTATTTTTCAAGGATGAATGATGTTGGTCTGACTTGGAATCAATCTTTTTCCCAGAGGTGTATTACCTAATGGAAGCAGAAAGACCAATCTTTATTTGGTATTATTGCCGAACCTTTTCTGGTTACAAAAGAATTACATAAGCAAAGAACTTAAGAACATTAAAATCTCATTACTGTTTTTGAAAGTAGATTAAACTCAATCTAGAGTATTGACAAAGAGTTAAGAAGTCATTTCACTTTTAAAAGTTATCTTCTGCAGGTTGACTTGAGTGCATCATATTGTTTAGACTTGCTGAATCAAATAGTTATCTTTCATTATACAGTGTTATAAACATGTGTTCCAGATATAGTTGCTGACCAACAATTGTTTTGCCAGTTGAATTCAAAGAATTTATAATAAGTAAAAGTGATCTAAACACACTGCAGTATTTCTGTATCCAGGTGTTTGATTTATCTCTCTGTTATTCTGGAAGTGCTAAAATGGTTCTTAGATAATAAATTAACTGAAAATGTTCTTCATTTCAGACATGTTACAACAGGAGATTCACGTGCCATCTCAGAGACTCACACTCTATTGAGAATACACTAGTTACCTTGATAGTTTTGTGGTTCCCAACTAACCTTCATAATCTAAAGCCTAACGGTGCAATGTGTGATGCACAAAAATATTTTACCTCAATGGTTGCATTTGGAGGAATTTCCTGAATGCCTTTGCTTCCATAAGCTAGCTCAGGAGGAACTATCAGCAACCGCTGCAAGAAATAAATAAACGTCTGAAATTATCTTTTTGACCAAATCATCAAAGATATATCGCTTTATGTGGATTTTGGTTCAATTTGCACAACCATCAATAGATAAGAGTCCCAAATATATGCATTTTAGTTAAAACAAGTTAACTAAAAAGGGTGATTCTACTGAACTCCATGGCCTTTATTACAACTGCAAAGCACTACCCAGACTTTTTTTTTAAAATTATACTGACTTTCGGTTAAGTTGTTATGGTATCATAATTACCCTTACAATGTCAGGAAAGAGCACATTATCGGAATACAGAAACATGCTAACTTACAAAAGTTAGCTAAGAAAGTTCTGTGTCATTTCAAAAGATTCAGGAAGATCTCTATAATTATGAGAAAGCACCAGTAAGTGTACTCTCAGCCTTGTTATCTGTGTTGTGAGCTCTTTGTTATTCAATAACAAAGAGCTAAGATAATGGAGTCTTTAGAGCAAAAGAAATAGGCTTCTTATGGAGCCCGACATAGGAACTACTAAGAAAGAAACATGCAGTTTCCTCGTACAGTAGTATGAGTTCTAGCAACTCTAAACACCATATGTAATATATGAAGAGGCACAATGAGTTCATTATCTCTTACCTGGCCTCCTACTCGCATGCCTTGAACACCCAAGTCTAATCCTTTAAGCACGATTCCTCTCTCCGATTGACCAACATCAAATCCATAAGGCTGCATCAAGTTGAAAGCCATATATAGTTAAAGAATAGTTATTGGTCGTGATCCAAATTTATGCCATCCGTAGAGGCCTGTTGATGATGTTCTGCTAACAATTGAATCTGACAGCTACTCGAAATGCTCAATATCAATGCAGATGTTGTTAAAGAAAAAATAAAGGTATTTTTTCTTTTCGTCGAAAGATGAAGAAGGTATTTCTAGTAAAATCAGTTCATGGGAATATGCAATGACATGAGAAACTTCTCCAAGCGCGTTGTGAATAGATTTGTGTTTCCAGTACAGTTTTTGCATGTGGTATCAGAAAAGTTGCATATGTCCATTAATAGAGAACCAGTAGACACTAATTCACAATGTCAGCCTTACTGTTCCACCACCAACACCAAGCCCTTGTCTGCTGGTCATAAATGTCACACCCTTCCATTTAGCAACATAGTGGACCTACATAAGTTGTTTTGAAACAGCAGTTAGCTGAGAGTGTAAGCATGGCAGAAATGTGAATATTCCTAACAATATGAAACTGTAAAACTTCATAATAAACATATAGAACCAGAAGGAGATACTGTAAATGATGGGAACAAAACTATTGGGACACAATATTAGATGAATGTATACCTTCATTAAGGTTTTGCAAATGACTTTGCATGATCAGATAAGATAAACCAGTCACGAGGCGGTTTGCCTCTCAGGTAAACATGTACTAGAGTCAAACAACTATAATCATAGCAACAAGAAAGCTGGTAGAAATATGTGCTAAACAGAGTTATTGTGAAATTCACTCAACAGTTTCTGTTGGCAAATAACTGGGCCGAACAGAGCACAAAGATGAACCAAGACTAACAAGAAGAAAGACTAAAGCATGAAAAAGGTGTCTCAGCATTTTTGAGTTTTATCTTTAATTCAAAGCTATAATAACCACTTCATGAATAAACCGTTCTGCCACATACTGATGATTTTCTGAAGGGCTTCAATAAAAGCATTCTGATTTATGAAATACATTTAACTGTTTGAAAAAAGCAAACTATAGAACTTACAACAGAGATGCCAATAAAATGTGTAAGTACTCCAACAGTTTGCATAACTATCATATATTATAAGGCATAAAAACTTAAATATAGAAAAAGTTAACTGTGCCACAGCCGTACTGCAACCCGAGATCCCTTCACAGCCTCAGCTCCACCGCCAATCTTTAAATCATAATATCTGAGAGACATTTCGACCCAAAGTACCAAGTCAAGTTTTTGCTTGAAAGTACTAGCAATTGCATACAGGAATACAAGTTGATTACTGGAGTAACATAAATATGCCTTAAGAGTATCAAGGCTCTCAAAAACAAACAAGAAGAATCATAATGATCGGTTACCAACTTTAAACCATTAGGCAGGGTTGTAAATTCACTCTCTGGTACTTTTGCTCCTTTAAGCTGCAGCGAGCAAATAAATCTTCTGTTTGTGAGTTGTGAATGGGAAGCTTCAGCGTAATGAAATCATGTATTATCAACTAAATTATCAATTAAGTTAGCAACGATTTAAAAAAAAAAAAAAAATTGAACTTAAAAGGATCTTACGGCTCTTCTGCTTGTGCTAACAGCTCCAGCTACATCAGAGACAAGAAAGCCAGTGGCTGGTAATGACAGAAACCAAAACCATACAAACATTATGCCATGCATGCTGTAGATGAAACAAATGTAGCAGAAAAACTGAACCATTATTTTCCCTGAGGTCAGTTAAACAGGAAAGCAGTATACAACACATGACCACCAACGCTTGCACTTAACTAAAACTCGATTGATGGAGCATATAGGAGAGAACCAAAAACCAAAAAAAAAAAAGGGAATGGAAAGATCAATAGTCTAATTGAATGGTGGTATCAAGTGTGAGGCATGTTGAATAATGGAAAAAGTAACTACAAACAACAAGAACATGAAGCAATATATCTCCATCAAGGAAATTAAAAATGTATCAGCAGATGTTTCATTTAGAACTTTGATGAAAAATGACATCTTCCACAATTATACTCAGTTGCTCCTCTAATCATATCAGAAGAAAAGCAAAAACAACAAGGATCCTCTCTGTTAACCATAAGACTATCTATGTTCAAGAACAATTCTACAACTAGCCCAACAGTTACATAAATCAAGTGAAATAACAACAATGGTCGTACGAGGCAAGAAGGCTAACCGGATGCAAGAAGATAGCCCATGAACACCCTCCTTCCTTCTTGCTCTAATGACAGTTTTCCCTCAGTAGCCTCTGATGCAGATGATAGTGCGCACTGAGAAGGCTTGAATGATGCATTCTGCTTCAAGGGTCTTTTCCCTGCGGAATCAAAATTGAATCTTGAGTTTCACGGATAATCTTGACGAGCTTATTAAAGCCGTATATTTGTTTCCTTTTCTTGGTGAGGGTGCGGGAGAGGAAGGAAGATAACCTGTGATGGCAGTGGAAGTGAGTGAGTGGGGAAAGAGGGGAGGTCTGAGTGGATGGGTGAGGCATTGGAGGAGGACCGACTCCATTAAAATTGCGAGTTTTCAGAAGTGGCAGTTAACGGGATTCTAAGGTTGTTAAAGCTTGGCGGGACGGGGAGGGAGATTGGGAGAGAGAGAGAGAGGATTGGATAATATCTTAAGCTCAGCCACAATTTGGCTGTTCAGTTTTCATACACTCTTTATGTTATGATAGAGTAGTAGTATCCTTAGTTCCCAATTCAGTCATACAGAGGGCGGGGACCGTTTCACTTTCACGCCTTCTCTGGTTCGCTATTAAGGCGTCAGAATTGACATCCAGAATTGAGCGAAGCTCTAAGATTCGGTAAATTTTTCCCTTCTTGTTTCAAAATCTTGTTACCTTTGCCAGAGCAATGTTTATTACTACTAACAATATTTCCGCATTTGTCATTATCGGCATTTCCAACACAAACCTCTGCGGATCCCATCAGCTGTTTTTTACTTTTCTCTTTGTAGCAGTCTTATCTTAACTACTTTCCCTTCTAGGTTGATCTACATGTATAAACAAGGTTCCTTAGATTTGCAGTAGTTCATTTCTCATACGGTGCAGGTAATTGGATTAATCCACATTGGTGCTGTTGAGGTCTTGTAGGCGTATTTTGCACATCTTCTGTTTGAACAAAAGACGCACGCATATAATCCCTAGCTTTCTTCTTTTGAGGGGGGCTTTGGTTCTTTATCTACTTTTTTGTTTCCATTCAATGTAGAGATAAATGTATTGTCATTTATCGTTTACAATAAGGACAGCAATTAGCTTCAACCTGAAAGACTGCAAAAATTGTCAACTTCTTGTACTTATCATCGGGAAACTAAGCTGTTCATTTTACAGCCAAATGAAAATTTTATTTTTGCCTTCTATATATATATATGTATATCTTTTCTGCCTCTTGAGAGCGATCAGCATTGTTAGTTTGGGAAGTCATATTCAGGAACTTGAGTAAGACTTCTTTGCAGGATTATGCAGATAACCTGGACCATGAGGTAACAAAGAATGACTAACGTTATGCTTCTTTTTCTCTTCGATTTTCTGTTTTGTCCTGTCACTCCCTTCCACCCACCTCCTGAACTTGTCAATGAACTTTTGCTGTGTGGAACGAGGATGGGCATGACCAGTCGCGGGCAAGTTTAAGCAAGAATCTCCGTGATCCCAACTGGAATGATCATGTTCATTTTCCCATCCAAAATTAGAAATTTCTCCAAAATTCAACTCTCTCTGGTCCTTCCTTTGCTGTAAGTCTTCTTGTTCCAGGTTCTTCCTCAGTAGCTCATGCCTTAGACATGCATTGCACCACCTTAGGTATATCAACTCTTTAATTGCTGCTGCGTGTTCCTTCTCAAGCTGTTCCGGATTAGCTGCTACTCGTCCGTAATCTACCATTGTTGCCTCGTCTGCATCAATCTACGAAGGAGAGACTGTCTTGTGAACCTCAAGCAATTAATCTTTGAACAACAGGGGATGCATTTATTACATACTAAAGAGAGAACATTAACACTTTTTTTTCCCCATCTATAAGCCTACATGATTCCATCCATAATACTTTTATATCCATCGCATTTTTGTAAAACAACAGATAGATATGCTTTATACGGGAATATGAAGTTGTGGCAAGTTGAAGAATGTCAACCTTTGATGAAGCTGCTGTATTTGCCAGCTCCATCTGTCTCGATAGTTCATCTTTCTCCATTTGCAGTTGTCCAAAAGCCAATTTTAGTTCCTTGATCTCATTCTCCCTTCTTCTGATGATATTAGCCTTTGCCTCTAGCTCTTGATGATTTCTAAAAATTTCTGCCTCTTTAGCTTCTATCTGCATATGCTGCTGCTTTATGACTCGAGAATGTTCTTTTGTTCTCCTCAACAGCTTCTTAACCTTCCTCTGAAGCAATCTGTTTCTTGATCTGGAAATTTCAAGCAGCTCCAACATTTTCAGATATTCAACTACCACACTTTCGAAACTCTTCCTATCTGCTTCCACTGATGAGATTTCCTCAGCCAAGAGCTCAACCCTTGTTATCTCCAACAATAATTTGTTCTGAAGCTCCATAAGCAGCAGTTCTTGCTCTTTCATGTCATGATACCGAAGATACTGTACCTCCAGCTCAAATTCTCTCACATGAACATCTTTTATTTGATTTCTTAAGACCAAAACTTCTTCTTCTAATTCAAATATATGTTGATGTTGCAGTTCTTCTTCAGAGTTCCGGTTAGAGGTATCTGTAATAGAATGATAGGCGTCCAAGCTGGATAAAGAGGATGAATTGATAGATTGAACATCAGGGAAACAGCCTTCAGCCGTCTGCTCCCCACGAGAACTAGCTTCATTTTCTGCTGACGAAGTATTTAGACGACTCGAACGTTTTCTAGTGGTGATGCGAGCAACAATGAAACCAGCCACGGTAATGGCAAGAGGAATTCCAGCTCTGAGGAGAACTGGCTTGATGACATCTGCCTTCGTGCTTGTGCTGTCCATATTGTGCAGGAAATGGTAGTTTATGATTTTGTTTTGGACTTGTTGAGTATCAAATAGAGAAACTCGGCTTTCCTCAGTTGTAAATGCAGGATGATGATCAAATATGTTTAGAGATTCTTTGCTTTTGGGTTTGCTTTAAAGCTTTCTTTGAAACACGGAATGAAATACTAGTCTGTTGCTCTTTGACCACTCAATAAAACCATTAAGCCATGCACGCAGCAATTCGTTAGCGCTTCATTTTTTTTTGGGCAAATTATCCAATTGGCCCTTAAACTCTTTGTCTAGATAAAAATAAGTTCCTCATCTATTTTTTGCTGACTTTAAACCCTCGAACTTGTAAAATTGGACACCCGTGACCCTTTTAGCCAGTTTCTCCGGTTTTGCAACCGGAAGACCAATTCACACGAATGCCAGCGTGCTTTTTCAAAGGGTATTTTTGTCCGCATCTTCTAAACAAAAAGAGAACAACTTCTCCTTCTTCCCTCCATTTCTGCAAAACCCTCGTTGCTGCCGCTTTCTCTCTCCTCATTCTCTGCAAGAGAGTGATACCACCGCTCTCAGGAATCTCCCCACTAATAGAGTCATAGCTATTCCTTCGACTGCCCAATTCTCCCCCACTCTGGACACCAGTCCTATCAAAATTAGCCGCTAAAACACTATTCTCATCCAAACCTTCTAGTGGAGATGCCATTGCAGTCGTAGAGCCTTTTTTAAACGCGGCGCAAGAAACGCTACCGCAAGTTCTAGAAAGTACGTCCCTCAATGTGGAAGGATTCAACCACTTACCAGCAATGGAAGTGGAGAATCGGGTCATTGTACTGACCAATACGCATCTACGTGATATTGTCAGGACCGGGACAATGTCATTCTCTGGTGGAGGGGTAGGGGTTGGCGGTGAAGGTTCCTCTGGCTCTGGGGCAAATCAAGAAATAACACAAGACCAGATCTGGAATGAACTGGAGCTTCCGCTGCTCGATGAGAACACCCGGCGAGCAGAGCTCGCTGATCGATTGGGGACGAATTGGCGGGGGATGTCTTATAACGAGCGAAAACTCGACTCCTTCATTTGGAGTCAACTGGCAATCGAAAGGCACATAGAGGCCGCACTTGTGGCAGACGGGTATTCCCCGCAAGTTGTCCTTGAAAAAAGACATCAGATTCGGAGCTTTATTTTCTACCCGGAGGGACGTGTCTTTAGTGAGGACACTTACACGGGTTATCTGACCCAAATTGCCAATTTCGGTACATGGCAAAGCGTTCCATATCGCCGGATTCTAGGAGTCGTCCGGAACTTGAATCTCTTTTTGCGTGTTTTCGGGAAGTATCAAAAGATAGCCCATTGCTATGGGGTTTGAGGAGGAGGGGAGATTCTTTATCCAACAGATCACAGGGGCCAAATTGGTTGGTTAAGAATTCCGGCAATGGCTTAAAGGGGAGGGGAGATTTTGAAAAGTTTTGATTTGGGTGGTCGGAGGTGATGAGGATTTGGAGAGGAAGAATCCTGGAGTTCTTGGAAGAACTGGCGGCAGTGGCCACAAAGGGCGGCGGAGACTGCGAGGACAGCCATGGACGGCGAGGTTGTTGCAGAGGAACTGCTCTGCGTGGACGGATTGATTTAAGGGGAGACCAGGGAACTCGAGATCGATACCTATAAAAATGCGGCTGTCGGAGCCGAGACCGACGGCCTCGACGGAGAATTTGGAGATGAGAGGACGAGCAAGGGACTGGGCTGGTTGAACCAATGTGGGGAGGAGGTGGAGGAGTTGTTTCCTTTTTGCTTACAAGATGCAGACAAAAATGTCCCTTGAAGAAGCACACTGGCATTCGTGTGAATTAGCCTTCCGGTTGCAAAACGAGAAACTGGCTAAAAGGATCACGGGTGTTCAATTTTACAAGTTCGAGGGTTTAAAGTCAGCAAAAAATAGATGAGGGGCTTATTTTTACCTAGACAAAGAGTTCAAGGGCCAATTGGATAATTTGTCCCTTTTTTTCTCTCTGGAATCTAATTCCCTAACCTTCAAATTATTTCATATGGAAATCACGAAAGGCCTGTATATAACCATTTGGAGCTTATTTTTAATTGAAAATTCAAATGTATATTCTCCGACTTTTGCAAATATTCATATTTCAAATGAGCTGGAAAAAAGAAAGAAAAAAAGAAGCTTCACATATATTTTAAGCATGTGGGTTCGTTCTAAATTTATGAAGTATTGGGGGGTAGTTGTAATTTGATCCCGCAATATTCAATTACAGTCCTTTTTTTTTTTTTTTTGTGGGGGAGGAAGGAACGGAGCCGAAAAAATAAAAGCATACGAGGAATTTGGGCTAAAATCGAGACCTTAAACTTATAAATTACCAATAATTCAAGGATCAATTAAAACAATTTTAGCTTTGCATCTCTAAGCGTGTTCTGAGGTTGTGCCTTGCAGCCTCGGTCCTCCGCTTGGCGCTGGACACGTGTAGTTTGGCCTACCCCAACTTGGGAGTGGGGATCCGCATCCATCCGTCCACCGACTTCTGTCCTTCTGGTTTCTGAGGTGAAAAGGACTTGAAGTCGCGATCCAGTCCTGACATGACGCTGATGGTTAGTCGAACGAAAAGTACATAAGAGGCCCGCCTTAACAATTCATTTTGTTGTGTTGCAAGTTGCAACACCCACGACAACACTTGAGCACGTCTCTTCATATGTGTCCTTAATGACGCTGACGGTAAAAATTAGGACATATTTTCCTCAACTAATGAGTGTTAATTGGTTACTATGAAGTACTACTTTCCTTGGCATTAGTTAAAAAAAATAAGAATTAGATAATAGAAAAATGTTATTTACACTTAATTTTTTTGTTATTTACACTTTCATCATTTATTTTATCATTTAATCTAGTAAATAAAAATTATATGATAAAAATAATAGTAAAAGTGTGATTAATAAAAATAAAAGTGTAAATAACATCTACAATAATATTATTACCGACTCAATACAGGCTTTAATTATGGGATGCTCATGTTTTAATTAGGGTTTTCATCAATTTATCCCCTTAAACTATATCCTAACTATCAGTTTAATCCTTAGCGTTAACTTTTAGTCACTTAAGTCCATATGTTAAGTCAAAGTAGATAATTGACCATTAACCCATTTAAAAATTGCCCTGCTAACTAACTAAAGTTTGGTGAAAATTTTTATGACAAAAATACCCTTCCCTCGTGCTTTTAAGTATAAAACAAGGATTAGAAGGCTTTTCTCTCCTTTTATTTTCTTAAATTGTTCACAAAATTTTTTATTTTGTGCAATACCTTGTCAAGGCTGCTCTTGTGAAGCCTACTACTACTGCTGCTGAGCGGTACGGATCAAATGGAATATCTCCAGAAGCTGTATCAATAATGAAGTGCAATGATATGGGGTGATGGTGGTAAAGAATCAGCATCTTTATTGCTTTAGATGAAGCAAAATGAACCCAAAAGCCTGTACATCACAGGCTGATGGTTGCTCACCCTCATCTGCAGTTCATCAGATGAGACAACCTAATTGTCCGCTCCAAGAAGAATTACTGCTGCTTCTTTCTTGGATATACTTGTGCTCCACACTGTGACATTCAATCCAAAAGCCTTTCCAAATTTCACTGCCAAGTGCCCCAGACCACCTTGCCCAATAACGCCTAAAGATTTTCCAGGTTGGTTCATGTTGTGTCGCATCATCGGTGAGAAGACAGCTATCCAAGATCAAAGCAAAGGTGCCGTCGTTTCTTTCTGGGGTTTATACGAGGGAGAATAGAGAGAGTTTGGGTTGATAATGATGAAGAAGAAATTAGAAAAGTGGCTTTCATTTTTTTGTTTTGTCGTCCCGCCAATTCATAAAGGGTATTTTTGAGAATGAAATTTTTTTTTAGGGTTTTATGGACATATTTGTCCATTTTTAATTAATTTGGATCTAAACATGTCTTTTTACGTGAATTATAAAATGCCGTCTCGTTTGACTGTTAGTCCAAGGATTTAAGTAATTAAAAGTTAACGCTAGAAACTAAACTGATAGTTGAACTATAATTTAAGGAGGTAAACTAATAAAAACCCTTTTAATTATGGGGAGAGGGCCAGTGTGATTGGGAAGGGCTAGGTTCGACTATTATACTTTTTATATTGTTTGAGTTATAATTACATTATATTATTATATTTGGTATAAAAATTATCGTATGTTAATAAAATATTTGACATACATTCAATATAATATTATGATGTGTTTATATATAAAATATTTGACATATCCAACAATTGTATAAAATACAATTACACCGTATCGAGTTCTTGTCCCTAATTATGGAATGCTCATGTGACAAAATTCTCCCATAATTAAGGATGAGATAAATTGAGTGACTTGAGTGAGGGAGCCTGAATAAGACATCTAGCTCTCCCACTTACACTTACATGGAAAAGGATTAAAAAAAAAAAAAGGGTTTCCCCGTGGTTCCGCATTTCCGAAGGCACGTTGGTTTCGTGTGTTTGGGCCAGTTTGGCAGGCACGAACCACGAAAGATTGGCTTTTGGGGCCCCCTGAAATCCATCGGCCAAATCCGTTAAAAGAACTCCATATGCACTAAAAAGGGCCTAGTCAGGAGTTTAAATTTTACCTGCCGTCACAAAATTTTAAAGAAAATGTCAGATTTTTTTTTTGATTTAATAATTTTTTATATCTATTAATTCCTTATACATTGTCTTTAAATTAAATTATGATAAATTAGATTATAAAATTAATATTGCTATCGTAAAAAAAAAAAACCTTTAAAAAAAAAAACCTCCATATGCTGCGCAAAGAAACAAGTGCCCGCCTTGTTTTTGTGAAATAGTAAACGAAAGAAACGTGTTTATCGCAAAACAAAAATGTACCGTACTATGGTCGGGGGTGGCGGCTTCTGTTGAATCACACCAGTAATCTCACCGCTGAGTACAAACGCTATTACGAATCCTTCTTTCCAATTGGCCACAGATTACAGCTGGCTTTCCATCCATAACCCACACGTCACCTACAATGAAACACAAACCAAAATCCTTCGCAAATTGAAACCCTGCCTCCCTTCCTTAAATATTCTTCCTCCCCGCCATCAGTCCCGCCATCATTACCCCGGAACCCACAGCGCCAACCATTCGCCACCGTCGGAAAATTTTACTACCGCTAGTCAGTCATTCATAACAGATTAAGAATGGAAGCCCTGCGATTTATCCCTGTCAAAACCATTCCTCACCCGTCCGAATTCACCCGCACAACCGCTAAGGAATCGGTTAGACCAGGCCCTCCTTTTCTAAAGAATAGGCGGACGAAATTTTATGCCATGGCCGTTGAAAATCGGCTCCAGGCGCCGACATTATCTCCCGAATTGGCTGCTCCAGCTCAACCGGAGACATTGTCGAGAGTGTCTCCCGGCTCTTTGCGGTGCGAGCCAGGTTTTTTGGTGCCGAATCACGGGGCGGTGGAGAGTGATGGTGCATTGGGTGGAGGTGGTGGAATCGAGTATTTGACGAAAATCTTGACGTCCAGCGTGTATGACGTGGCCGTAGAGTCAGACTTGCAGCTGGCTACTAAGCTATCACAAAGGTTGGGCAATAATGTCTGGCTGAAGCGTGAAGATCTTCAACCAGTGAGTCTCTTGTTCATACAAGATAGCAACACTGCTTATATAATAAATGTGATAATTAAACATTGAAGTTTCACCGATTGTGGGAAGTTATGGAGATTTTAGTCGGATAATTTGTTATCAATTTTTTGTTGTTTCTTGATGGAATTTCAAGGGTGGTTGTGTTCTTCACACTTTTAACTTGTCCCTTTGTTTTAAAGTCAATACAGAATTTTGGAAATGTTATGTGGCACTTTACTGGCTTTATCTGGTCGGTTGCGTGCAATCAGCTTATTTTCTGTTTTATGGCTGACTTCTATTTGAAAATTTAAAAGGTTGCTACCTTTTCATAGACTAATTAAATAACTATCGGGAACGAAATAATCTTTTAGTTTGATATTGGTTAAAGTTCCCTTTTATGAAAAGGTAGAATAGGAATGGAATAAAAAAGAATAATTGCAAAGGAAAAGAAATCTTTTTTGGATTCTTTTTTCCTCTATTTTTTTTATTTTAGTTAGAAAAATAGAACTCTTTTCATGATTCATGAATCATAAAGCAGGGCCTAATTTTTTTTCGTAATTGAAAACAATAGGTTGAAATGTCTATGTACTATATGTTATAAAAGGTTTTTTATTCAAGGATTAAGCTATTGATCAACAAAGAAAAAAATTCTTATATTATATAATGGTACGTTCCATCATTCACAAGTGCATATTCTTGGTTGTTCACTCTTTATTTACTAGCGGTACAACTTCATTATTCTTATGTGATCTGGTGCTTGTTTGGCAGGTTTTCTCATTCAAGCTTCGAGGAGCTTATAATATGATGGCTAAACTTCGTAAAGACCAGCTCGATAGAGGTGTTATCTGCTCTTCTGCAGGGAATCATGCACAGGGGGTGGCTTTATCCGCCCAAAAACTGGATTGTGATGCTGTGATTGTGATGCCTGTCACTACACCTGAAATCAAGGTTCTGATTTATGGATTTCCATTTTCCCCTAAACAGAATGACTTTGTTTTGGTCCTGTATAAACTTCTTGTTCCATGGCATTGACTAAATGTTCATGTATCTCTAGTGGAGGTCAGTAGAGCGGTTGGGTGCCAAAGTTGTCCTTGTGGGAGACTCGTATGATGAAGCACAATCTTATGCTAAAAGCCGAGCCAAAGAAGAAGGTCGAGCATTCATCCCTCCATTTGACCACCCAGATGTCATCAGTGGACAAGGAACAATTGGGATGGAGATTGTGCGCCAAATGCAAGCAATGCAAGGCCCAATACATGCTATATTTGTCCCTGTTGGGGGTGGTGGGCTGATAGCTGGTATTGCTGCTTACTTGAAAACAGTCTCTCCCGAGGTAAAGATTATTGGAGTGGAGCCATTTGATGCAAATGCTATGGCACTATCTTTACATCATGGACGAAGAGTGGTGCTGGACCAAGTTGGAGGTTTTGCAGATGGTGTGGCTGTTAAAGTTGTTGGTGAAGAGACATTTCGATTGTGTCGCAAGCTAATAGATGGTGTAGTTCTTGTTAGCCGTGATGCTATTTGTGCATCTATAAAGGTCAGCCTCTTATTGCCAATAAATAATTGATGTTTCACAAGGGCATTTTATGCATCCTTTTGACAGGTATATCCTTGGAGTGGAGATATCTAACATGAGAGATTTTCTGAAGAAACTCAAATAAGTTCTAGTTTTCAAAAGAGAGCCTTTAATGAAAGTTTGGAATATCTGGAGTATGTAACTTGTCTACTTGTTACAGGACATGTTTGAGGAGAAAAGGAGCATTCTAGAACCTGCAGGTGCTCTTGCACTTGCTGGAGCAGAAGCATACTGTAGATACTATTGCCTGGAGAATAAAAATGTAGTAGCAATAACTAGCGGAGCCAACATGAATTTTGATAGATTGAGATTAGTTACTGAACTTGCAAATGTTGGTAGACAGAAGGAAGCTGTGCTTGCAACATTCATGCCAGAGGAGCCAGGGAGCTTCAAGAGATTTTGTGAACGTGTGGGTCATAAAACAATTCACAGGCTTATGTAACTTTATGATGGCAAATTTGTGAGTTCATTTGTAACTTTATGATGGTGGTGTTTTGCAGGTGGGACAAATGAATATTACAGAATTTAAGTACAGATATAATTCAGAGAAAGAAAAAGCTCTAGTGTTATACAGGCAAGCTCTTCCATCTCCTTTCGTTTCCAATATCCTGCAAATTGTAATGTACTTGCAAGATATTTATATGGTACTCTTGCAAGGGTTAGTAATTACTGAAAATCATGCCTTTACTAGTAATACTGTAAAAGAACAACCCATCAAAGTGATTACCTTTTTCTTTTGCTTGCAGTGTTGGACTTCACATGAAAGCTGAACTAGAGGCAATGGTAGCTAAACTGCAAGCATCTCAACTTGAGACAGTAGATCTCACAGACAACGACCTCGTCAAAGATCATCTGCGATATTTGGTAAGTTTTCTTTTTGTAGTTGCATAGTCTTGACTGATCCATATAAAGTTCACATCCCTTGGTGCTTGTGAAACTGCTTGCAGATGAATAAGCAATACTACTTCTTCACCTTTGTACATTAATTTTATTTTTCAAAATTTCAGTCGGGTGGTCGGTCACATCTTCGAGATGAGGTTCTTTGTCGTTTTGTTTTCCCTGAGAGACCAGGTGCTTTGTTGAAGTTTTTGGATGCTTTTAGTCCTCGCTGGAACATAAGCTTGTTTCATTACCGAGCACAGGTTAGAATCCCCGAAATTTGTTACTTTAAAAATGATATTAGTTCAGTTCAGTTCAGGTTACATCTTTTTTTTTCGTTTGGTCTGTTAAAGGGAGAAACTGGAGCAAATGTATTAGTTGGCATTCAAGTTGCAGAAAGTGAGATGGACGAATTCCGAGATCGTGCACACAATCTTGGGTATGAGTATGCGGTGGAGGAAAATAACAGGGCTTTCAAGCTTTTGATGTACTAAGTTGTTGTTGCTCTTTGTATTAGGTGCGATTGTTGTTGTATTGGAGATGGATTGTTGGAATGACTCTTGGGCACTTGTGGGAGAACAAGTACAAGCCTGACTTGATTTGAGATTGTACCCGTTTCATCTATCGCTTCTCTAATGCTAATGACCAGGCTAGGATTTGCTCTGAACTACGTAGTATCATCGCTTGCAATGCAATTGCTGCATTCTGTATGAAGGTGGATATATATGTGTGAGTGTGTGAGAGTATCAAATGAGTTGACAGAGGAAATCAATGGCGCTAGCCGCCAACTGTTTCTCGAAGGTTATGACGGTTAAGATGTATATTCCTTCCCTTGACGCTCGAGTCATTGAGCTTGCTCGAGCGAATGAGAATGAAAATCACTACATGTTTAAGCGATAGTATAAATATGAAAATCTCTAAAATTATTTAGTTTATATTTATTGTACATGTCGTATTTCAATTTTTCTAAGTAATTTTATTTGTTATCACAGCAATACACTTCGAGGTGAATGCAAAGATACGATGCAGCAAGTTCATTTTTCAATTCACAGAGGCCAAAAAAAAAAAAAAAAAAAAAAAACTCGAGAATATAGCAATCTAAACGAGAGAGATGATTCATTTTCCGCGGCCAATGGCTACTCGATCTTTCCGCGTCGATATTGCCTAGAAATGTGGTCATGTGCTTTTACTACAAGCTGCAGAGGGCAGAATGCATTTACTATCTGGGGCATTAGCGTATGAAAATATTATCCTAGACGATCATCCGGGTGTGAGGGTCGAAGCAGATATCATATCTAGCATCCGGTGCTATTTGGTTCCATCAAGGAATGATTCCCAGTATGAAAGGAAGAAGCTCCTCAGCTCGTCGAGAACGTTTCCCTTCGTTGCCTCTCTCTATCTTTTTCCGTTTCCGAATTAGTAGTATACATGAAATATAACAAGCAAAACAAAGCGAGCATCACGTATGATTTCATCTTTTCAGAGCACTCACGCGTATAACCCTCATTTGTGCTTAAAAGTACCTTCGCCTTTAACCAAATGCCTTGTCACACCCTCGAAACAAACTCCTAAAATGGACAAAATAACCTCCTTTGCCCCAACACCATCATTTCTGGCCTAACAAGGACGACATGCATCATTACCTTAATAAGACCCGCCCCTTCCCAGCAGTCATTTAGCTGAACTTTTCCTACAAGACTTGTCCATAAATACTCCCACAACACTTCCTCAACTGGGAAGTATACCCGATATTTTGAGCAAAGTTAGAAATACAAATGGGGATTTTAAGATATCTTTTTGTTGTCAATCTTCTTGTTTCTTTGACCTTTTTTTCTGTGTCCTATGGAGATCCCCTTGTTCCAGCATTATGCATCTTTGGGGATTCCGTTGTGGATGTGGGAAACAATAACAATCTACCAACCCTGATAAAGGCTAACTTCCCTCCCTATGGAAGAGACTTCCTAGGCCACAGGCCTACAGGGAGGTTTTGTAACGGAAAGCTGGCCACGGACTACACAGGTAAAAGAATCAGTACCATGCTGAAGCGCTTGCACCACTGGAATCATTTTTGTTATACCATACGTTCTAACATTTACTGCATCTTTTCCTCTTGCATAGCTGAATACCTTGGGTTCACGTCCTACCCACCTGCTTACCTTAGCCAAGAAGCCAAAGGAAGCAGCATCCTCACCGGTGTGAACTTTGCATCTGCTGCTTCTGGTTATTATGACGGGACAGCACAGCTATATGTATGTACATCTCATAGTAGTCTCTCTCTTTCTTTCTTTCTTCCTCAGGTCCTAGAATCAGTCAAACAAGCTCATCCAGTTTTCACTAACGAAGTAAATTTCTTTTTGTGTTATCTGGTTTTGCAGCGCGCAATTTCCCTGACACAGCAGCTACAGTATTACAAGGAGTGGCGGACCAAAGTTGTGAATGCGGTTGGAAAGGCCAAAGCAAATACCATAATTTCAGGAGGAGTCCATCTCTTGAGTGCGGGGAGCAGTGATTTCATCCAGTACTACTACATTAACCCAATGCTCAACAGAGCCTACACGCCCGATCAATTCTCAGACATTCTCATGAGATCTTACTCTACCTTCATTCAGGTCAGCAACTTTCACCTTTCTTATGCCATCTGTATTATAAACATAGCTGCAATACATCATCAGAAGCATAAAACTTGTCTGCCAGTTAACATGGAAGTGCACTTCATTTTAAGATTTCTAGTAATTGTATCCGAATAAGGTCAGACAATAGAATGAAGACTCTCACGGGCACAGCAAGATCTAAATAGATGTACTACAGACTTCGCCCTTGTTAATATGTGTGTACATAAAATTTTATAATGAAATTTATGAACAAAATTCTTGTGTCACTAAGAGTTGATAATCCTAAACACAGAAAAGTAACAAAAAAGATTGAGGAAACAGATTCATGTAACTTAACCAAGCAGTACTTTTACTGTAATGACACAAATACTCAGATTGCAACTTCACCACATAAGCAACAAGGAACTGCAGCTAAGAATTCCAAACAAGTGCAGTGTTTGAAATTACTATGTGACAGAATCTGTATGGTCTGGGAGTAAGGAGGATTGGAGTCACAACACTACCACCAACCGGATGCCTGCCAGCAGCTATTACACTATTTGGTTCAGGAAGCAACCTGTGTGTTGCAAGACTGAACCAGGACGCAATCTCCTTCAATAACAAACTGAACAGCACCTCACAGAATTTGAAGAGCAAGCATCCTGGCCTCAAACTTGTAGTCTTTGACATTTACAATCCTCTGCTAGACCTAATCACGAAGCCTACGGACAATGGTAATTTGCAACTTCTCGGCTCTGGCACAATAAAAATGCATTCTGCATTCAAAATTAAGCATATAGCATAAGAATCATGTTAAACAATCTCTGACACATCTCAGAACCTCTGCATCAGTACACAATCTTTGAAGGAAAATCAGTTAATACCACAGGCTAGGTAGGCAGTTCACACGTGCAGATGCGTAATGTAGGTAGTGAACAATCATTTTCTTGTAATTTTCCTTTCTCAACAGAGAGAGGGAAGGTCTGTCTTTGGAAAGGAACCTGTGATTGAACTAATTGGAGAAACATTGTCCTTTGCCAGGATTTTTCGAATCAAGAAAGGCTTGCTGTGGGACTGGTACAATTGAGACATCGTTCTTGTGCAATTCCAGGTCAGTAGGGACATGCTCAAATGCTACAGAATATGTGTTCTGGGATGGTTTCCATCCCTCGGATGCTGCTAATGAAAAGTTGGCAGAGAGTCTACTAGAGCAGGGATTTGATCTCATCTCTTAGTGCCTACTGCAGTTGCAACATCACTCACTATCCCACTCAAGTCCACTAGTTAAAACTACTTTATGGATGTTAAGAGTCACAAAGGTGTTTCCAATGACTTTGATAGTATAGGTAGAAACCTCCATGGCTTTGAAAAGAGGACCAAATTAAGCTATATCCAATAAAGAACATGTTTATTCTGATTGATCTCAGATGCTCCAAATAATGGAAAAGAATTGCTTCATGACTGAATTCTAGCCACGATAGCATTGGGAAACAAAAATTTCCAGCAACCTTTATACCCTCCTCACCTTCTTTGCCAATTCTCCTGAGAAGGAAAAATATACATAAAGAAGAAAAAGAAAATGCAGACGACCATATTATAAAGAAACTATCACTTTGATACAACAATGATATTCAGACACCTAAGATTTGAAAATTGGAAAATTTTCCTATTGACTAGCACCAGGGAATACTTGTTGAGACACATAATTTGATGATCATATGGATATGGCGAGGGAAAAACAAAATCTCCGTATGAGAAAAGCAAGAGTTACCTTGCTAGTGAATCAGAAGTCTCTAAGAAAGCTCAAATCCAGCATTAGAATTGATGGCATACAGAAGTTTCTCTCTCAAAGTGCCTAGACGTTTGTAGGTGGGAAGCTGTACCCATTTAACAGGAACCCAAGACAAAGAAAGGAAAAGAGCACATCATAAGTTGGGTGTGATTTAAATGAGAATTAGGACTGATATGCTTCCACCAGTAGAAAATTAAAGGGCTGTGAAGTAGGGTCATTATCGCTGGAAAAGCGATGCCACAAGAGACAGTACCTTAAGAGTATTATAGCATGTAGAAGCAGATGGAAGCCGATCAACATCCTGTCCTCCTAATGTTGCCAAGAAAGGCACATCACATACAACCTGCTTATTAAAAGTTAATCAGTCAATGCAAATTATGACATCAACTAGATTCAGTTACTGTCATGCATTTTCAATATAAAGCTAATACTTCATCCACAGCCAAAGTTCCTTCTATAACTATGGCACCTAAGCTAGTGTTTTATCTCCATTAAACTTGGACCTAGATCGATTGCATCCAACCCTTGAAAGTGTAATTTATCTTGGCATCCAAGCGCATGTGTAACCTTATTGTGTACAAATGAACCAAGATAAGTTGAGGGAATTTACAAAATCATGAAATTTGGCACTTTACAAGGCAATAGAAGAAAAAAGAGAGTACCTTGTGAATAGTAAAAGCTGGTTGCAAGTGTTTGAACCCTAGTAAAGGACCTCGAGAACAACTTGTCACAAATTTAAGAAGCATGCAACGTTCTATCGCTTCAAACCCAGCAACTACCTGTAAGACAATAAGCAAGAAGAACTTATCAACAAGCAACTTACCAAATGATTTAGAAACCAGGTTGTCCTAGATGACAATCAGGGCTCAACTAAAAAGCGAGTTAAGTGCAATCCTCAGACAGATTACAGGAAAAAGAATTACAATTAAAAAGAAAAAGAAAATGGAAAGGGCCAAGTTTGCGTGGTATCAGGTAGCACAATAATTTTTCTACAATAAAAGAAAAGTAATATAATAATCTTGAGAATTGCCTTGTCCTTTCCTCCCTATATAACATACAATATTCTACGTAAAGAAACAATTCAGACGGCAAATTTAATAGAAAGTAAGGTGCCTGGACCAAGCTCCTAAACAGTTGATATTAGGGCTTTGCAACTCACACACATCCAAAAGAAAAAGGTGAAAGAAGAACAAACAACCAAAAAAATGTTAGAAAACCAATATGAATTGGCTACTCTTCATACATAGTCCGTATGGTTAGTGTTGAAGATATGTGATCTAATATTAGGAAAGATATGATTATAGTATCATGTATTAATTAGGTATCATATGATTATAGTATCATGTATTAATTAGGTATCATATGATTATAGTATTATGTATTAATTAGGTAGTAGATTGATTTAGATTAGCATGATTTTAGGATCTAAATTAGGTTACACTTGTGTATATATATATGTATATTGTGTAGTCCTAATAAGAAGAAGAAAAAGTATTTTCTCTCCATTTTTCTTAGTTTACATGGTATCAGAGCCCTACCATCAAGGTTAGGGTCTCTGTCCGCTGCCAGAAAATTCATTAGTCATCATTCGGTTCATCTGGTTCTGTATAGGACACATCTGTGTTCTATTCTTCAGAGCTTGAAGCTCAAGAGAGTTATTTGACCCGTTGGAACTCGTTAAGGGTTTTGAGAAGAAGGTGGAGCATGATTACTATGTTCGTGGCTTTTAACCCGTTGGGATCTATTGAACCTTTTGTGAGATTTGGCCCGTTGGGACCTGTTGAGCCTTTTGCATTCTGATTCGTTGGTGGCTCGTTGTGGTTCGTTGGGACTTTTGTGGTTCGTTGAGATCTGTTGGGACTTTTATGGAGAAGTTTAGGTGCCTTTTGAGCCTGGGAATTATTTCCTAAGGTTTTGTATTCTCGTTGGAGTTCAGTTGGGTTTTGAAGAAAAGACGGTGTGGCTAAGGGAAGATGCAAAACTATTTTTGCACCAGTCATGTGAGAACTGGAGAACAGTTAGCTGATATTTTCACTAAGCCTCTAAATGATCCGAGAATTGATTACCTTTGTAACAAGCTGGGCATGAGCAACATCTATGCTCCAGCTTGAGGGGGAGTGTTGAAGATATGTAATCTAATATTAGGAAAGATATGATTATAGTATCATGTATTAATTAGGTATCATATGATTATAGTATCATGTATTAATTAGGTATCATATGATTATAGTATTATGTATTAATTAGGTAGTAGATTGATTTAGATTAGCATGATTTTAGGATCTAAATTAGGTTACACTTGTGTATATATATATGTATATTGTGTAGTCCTAATAAGAAGAAGAAAAAGTATTTTCTCTCCATTTTTCTTAGTTTTCAGTTAGAATACCAGAGGAAGGTAGCCAGCTGATTGTAAAGAACCTAACAACTAAAACAAACTGGCATATGATTCTGTCTGAGATAATTTTAGAAAAGCTCTGCACTCCATGAATGCATTCTCAAAGTAGAACTGTAACCACACAGAACTAAACAGGTAGCCAAATGTGTTTTAGAAAAAATACCTCCCAGAAGAGTTTCACTGTCCGACTCCCTTCTGTATAACCACCAGTATATCTTGTATTTTTCCTCAAATCACCAATATCAATGTCATGGTTCCCACCAGAAAGCAACTGCATATGCTATCTAATTTTCAGCCTTGAATATATAAACTCCAAAAGAACAACTTAGTGAAAATAAAAGTGTAACATATGAAATTAAAGAAAAACATTAGGAGGAATGTTGGACAGAAAGAGAAATTATATCTTATAGTTAAAGCTACTCATTTTAGACGAGCAATTTTAATCACAAGAAGACAATGAGTAACAAAAGATCTCCAACACAACAAATAAACAAAAAAACTAGGCGAAATATAGATTACAAGAAAATTCAGGTTCTTCAGCAGTCTGATAAAACTACAGAGAAATACAAATATGCAGATCAGCCGTCACTTATCAGCAAGACCACCTCTAATCTTTCCTGGCCTTGATCAAGCCTAAACCAATTCGTCATCTATCGTAGCACAACTATATCAACTCAAGGATGTTTTGTTTGCTAGCTTCAACTTCATGAACAAAATGACAAACCCAATATGGATAAGAGTGAGGTTACCTGATTGAATTCACTTGCATTGAACAACCTCAACCAAGATGGGGAAACAAGGTCAGTCAACCCTCTACAAAATGCATTCGAGAAAGGAAGTATCTGCAGTTATCGTAAACAATGTAAATTTCGAGAAAACTGGGTTCCTAAGATTTTAGTGCAAAGTCACAGCAGACCTGCCGATTAAGTTTGTAGTCTGCAACTGCATGAATATATTGCAACTTATTCTCAGATGTCACACAGATATCCTTGCCGCCGGGTTTTAGCTCAACAAGATGCCTTTTACCGAGTGATTCTTCCGTAGCTGTGAAATCCAGTGAGAGTTCCTTGACATCACCATCATAATGCTGCATGCATAATGATCCCAATAGCAGAACAACTTAATCACAGTAATGTCCAATTATCCATGAACAAACAATTAAATAGCTCATAAGACCAGAGCTATGTTGAATACCATCAGAAGTCACAGCAACATAGAATTAGTATGAAACCCAAGTCTTTGAAATTTGTTACTATATGTACATGTAATGCAAAAGTGGGCAAAAGATCAAAATTTTCTGGTCAGAAAAAAAAATTTCAGATGATTTTACAAATAATTCTGGGACAAATTGGAGTCTCAACTAACAATATTATGTATGAGTTTGGCATATCATTTCAAGCCTCTCAACAGCTATATTGATTTCATAGTCAATTATTCAATTTGCCCTTCTCATACATTTACAAATCGACTTCTAAGCTATGATATATTTTTGTTCAAGACAGCAGAAAATTTAGGTTGAAGGAAAGGAACCATAGACCTTGATGTCATGTGCCTAATAGAACAAACAGTCACCAAGAATCTAACAGCAGCTTTAGATTAGTTATCTCGCACAACCTTACTTTCCTATTAAGATCAGGATCCGTGGAACTAAATTTTGGATGCCAAGCAAGATTCAGGTTTTGTTTTTACGTAAGGTCTCCGCACAAGGGTCTATAAACAAGGAAACTTGAAAAGATGTTTCAACAATACCACATAATATTAGCTGGTCAAGGTTAATAGCATAGTCTTCCAGTGTACACAATTGCTTGTCAGAGATATACTTTGAGTAGGATGAGACATAGTTCAAATGGGACAATGACCAGCAATTATATATACATGATCAATTTCCTACGAGGCCTGATAGTATTCAGGGAAGTAATGAAGAGCAGGAAGAAATTATAACTCGAGTATAACAATGTGCCTTGATAATTTTCTATTATTCATAAAAGGGATTTACCTTCACATACATAAGATTTCTGTAAAGCTCAGGATCAAGTGTTGACAGTTCGTCAAGAAAGCTATAGCGACCTAACAACTTTTGTACAAATACATGTGAGAAGGAGTAATCAAGTAATATTCCTTCATAAAGTGCTTTGCCAACTACTCTTCCCAGAAACTCGATCATTTGTATGCCATTCTCTAAAAATCTTGCTGCTGTATTAGGAATGAGAAGTCTATCTGAGCTTGAGCTCTGAGAGAACAGCCCGTACCTTAACAATATGAAGAATCATGTTACAAGCAACAACCAAGAAGAGAAGGAAAAAAAGATAACAGAAGCATAATTGCAGACTCACTCTGGTGAGAAAACTGCTTTTGCTATATCAGTCAAGAACTCCTTGGATAATCCGCCATAGTCTAGGCCGGCCTCTGGGAGACCAGATTCACTAATAAATGATACATGGATGCTAGATTTCAACCTTGACCCAAGAGCATTTAACTGTTGAAAACCATCCTCCACGATATGTCCACGTCTGATGATGATCTCAACTGATCCTGGACCGGGTCCAACAACCTCACCAGCCATTCTACGGGATTCTTTATCCATGTTAATAAATTCTCTGAACATTTCAACTCTATAGGGGGCAGAGATGAAGTTTCAGGTTATATTATGGCAAAAAAGACACTCAATACAGACATTCAAGCTTAGGAAAGGATTCTAGTGCTGTGTTCACCTTTCTTCAAATGGAAAGACATGTGGAGTAAGAGTAATGACAGAAGCAGCCATACTTGAAGGGGCTGAAGCATCATCTGGTATAACAGTTGCAGATAGAACTTCATGAGTCCTAGCAGCTACAGCAATTGGCAGGCGATTTCTCTCACCAGGTGAAAGCCATAAAGCTGGAGGACAAAACTGGTGCCTGCAATCCCTTTCATATAGCAAATGTAGGCATTGAATTGCAGAATCCATCAGAGTTCTATTATGTGGGCTAACACCGCCAGATACAGCATTATAGACAAGTGTATTAAGCATTGATGAAATTTTGCGCTGCTGCTCCAATGTGAATGGAACCTAGTTCATTTTCAATTGTTAACAACAGCTTAACAAAATTCCAAAAAGAGTTGCAGTGTAAGTACAGTGAAAGATGAAGAAAAAAAACTTAATCAAACCTGTTTCTCATAAAACTCTATGTCATCAAGAACTAAAAGCAGGTGTGAATATATGGCACAAAATAGATGAAGGAGACAATGCATATCTTTCGATAAGCCTACAGGACCACGTCTGAGAGCCTCTACATCCCACACAGAAGAAGACTGATCTCGAATTCTGTCAAAGCTGGATTTTCCAGTAGAATTCATTTTACTTGATTCTGTTGGTGAGTTTCCAGAGAATTTGTGCAATACATTGACCCATTTATTGCCTCTGTCTTTAGCACACCATTTTTGCTTTCTCTGAGAGACATCATCCTTGCTTTTGGAAATATCATTACCAAAAGAATTGTCCTTGGCATCATGACTCCTTCCAGGAAAAAGAGATCTTTCCAATACTTCCCACAATTTTGAAAGAAATCCAGGAGTAAAAGATAACATGTTGAGAACTGGCAATGACCCGAGCACAGGATTTAGTGCAGAAAATATTCTAATCATGCATGAATAGTAATAAGCAACATCAAGCAATTCAAAACTCATAGGAGCTTCTGAACTTTGATGTGTATCAGTCATACGACCAGAAATATCTTTCTCCAAGTTTAGGAGTCCCAAAAGATGGCTCTGCTGACAAACAGGTTTAAGAAGGTCTGTGTATGACATCTTTAAGGACTCGCAAGTTGTCTCAGATTCAAGCAATCCCATTCCAATAGGATCAACCTGGTTATCTACATCAACTTGAATTTCTTGGTTCCTGAATCTTACCTGTCCATCTTTCCCAAAACAAGCCAATAAGTTTTCTGCAAGGATGATAACAAAACGGACATAGGCCACTAAATCCAGTCCTGGGGCAAATTTTCCAGAGCTCACAGCGCCATCGTCACTGGATGTTGCAAGAAATATAATATTTGCAAGGGCCCAAGCAACTTGAGGCATCTTCTTAGACTGCAAATGAATTTCCAATCGATCCATCTCAGATATTTCCTTTGAAATTCTATCTTTTGAGATCTGCCATCACCTGTGACAGTTTAATTAGCCTTATCGTAATCTAATGTACAATATTGCAAAAAATTAAGAGTGACACCTGAAGCTTAAACATTTGACAATAAGATTAATCTCTAGCCACAAGGTTCATTTCTAAAACGAAATATCAAACACAATAAATTAACCTTTGACGTTAAGGTTTACTTCCCAACCAGATACCAAGCTTGTTACAAGTAGCTTTCTGTGTCTGTTTCATACTTCAACAGACAACTTCCAACATATGAATGCCAACCTCCACAACCAATCTAGCAATTTTCAGAATTGAAATCAGTTTTAGGGCAAAAGATTATGTAAACATCTACCAATGATGTTTGAACCTTTCAGTCTAACAAATCAACTATCTTTGCACAAAGAGTCAAAGCCAGCATCTATTAGTGCTTATTGACACAAAACTTCCACAGACCTAATTTCCTTGAAACAGATGAAATCTCTTAAGGTACCAAGATTATCCATCTAGATTCTGATTTAAAAAAAAGTAGGTGTTTGCAAGCACTCACAATGAGAACTATTTAATAGAAAAAGTAAAAATTCTGCTTTGGCCAGACTTACCAGCAGTGATCTTAGACAGGATGATAAAACAGACTTGTGTTTCAGAGCAGGTAGAAGCACCATTGGCAGACGTTCAGAAAACCAAGGTATAGTAAGCAAAAAAAAGAAATAATTTTCTGCAGCATGTTGCAATTCCAATACGCCACTACCAGTTCCAGCTGTGTCTCTAAAATGAAATGGCCGTAAAGCCAAAGTTAATGCACTAGCAGTAATCAAAAACCTATCATCTGTTCTACAGGAAGATGCCCCTTGAGTAGGTACAGGATCCAACTTCCAAATGTATCTCCTAATACTGTTATATGTCCCACTCTCTTTATTCGCAATAAACCAGATTAAGTTCTTTACTGCAGCATCAGCATATTGAGTATCCCGTTCAGTTATGCTTTTCCAACCTTTCCAATCAGTCAAGAGAACTGCTAGACGCATTCCTAAAGAGACAACGCCAACATCTTGAAGCCCTCGATCAGTGTAATCAACCTCCACCAAAATCAGTAGACATAGTAAAATTAGCTTCTTTGACTGATAAATCCATATTTTTCTCTCTTCAGTGGTACCCGTTACCAAAGAGCAAAAGTTTTCATTTGGATCTACAAGTAAGAACTATGAAAGCATTAAAATTCAGCAGAAAAAAATCCTGCAGAAACCCAAAAGTGTCAATCAAAACTCAATGGCAATTATGTACAAGACAGAGCATAGTGATGATGAAACCATGTATAGACCAGAAAAATATAACAAGAGATGTTTGTGCCTTCAACGGGTGAAGAAGATGAGACTAGAAAAGAAGGTTAGCAGTTTGCAGTATAGCAGTTCAAAATATACATTACATTTTGATTATTCGCACTTTGTTGGAGGGATTTTCTTTCAATTCTCTAGCTTCTGACTTTTGAAAGAATTATTACCTGCAGACCAAAATATTGTACCTCAAACCAGTAATGGACTTCAAGTTTTCTATCAATTTAATTTAATTTGTATGGTCGCTTGGCTGTCAGTTATACATCGTATTTTCCAGTTAAGACTCAAAGCAAATGCAGGTACAAGTTTCTACAGGCTATACAACTTGATCTAAGCACAACTAAATGTATGTGTAAGTGATATCTTCAACTAGCTTGGTTCCAAGGCCAAGAAAGGAGTCCTATAAGTCTAGCAAACATGTGGTATTCTTATCTCAAAGTATGCTTAGCATTTAGGCCAAATCAAAAAGTATGATATAAGACACAGAAACAGCATTTTATTACCCAAGGATGACAATTAAAAGAATTCCTTTATAATCATTAAAATTCCTGAGAAAGTCCAGTAGAACTCAGCAGAAAAGAAACTAACTGACCATCTAATATCTTTTTAGAAACCTCAAATTTCTCTACTAAGGCCCACCAAAGAAGAGGGTAAAGTTTTTCTATAATCAGTATCAAAACATCAAAACATGTCTTTACTAACAAGATCATGCAAACAATGCTTATCCTCCTTAAGGTGACTGTGGGAGAAACCTGAAAGTTTCCTGCCAAAATTATCTTCTATACAAGGCTGAATTGAAGTGCTTACATTTATTAACCTTCTTGGCTCAGCGAAAGAAATTATTAGACGAACAAAGCAACATTTGACATAAGAAGATGAAGCACATCAGATTTTATTGCAAACAAGAATTGATTTAACAGAATATACTTTAGTTATAGACCCACAAATAACGAAAAGGAGATATGTTGCATACCAGTTGAGTTTATGCTTTCCAACAAAACCCTGAAGCAAAGCTTCACGCAATCTTCTTCTCTGGTTTCAATTCTTTGATACCGAGTAGATAAAAAAGTCATAAAGAAGATAAAAGGCCTCAGAACAATCCTTGAAATCTGCATTTTGTTCCAACAGATAGCATTTTGATTCATCTCTGCTAGCCACTGTTGCTGAAGCTGCATAGATACCACTTTTACCGCCCTGTGACGACGCCAAACTCTCTGCACGGGTGTAACTAGTGCCAGTTAGTGTTTCCAGAAAAAAAGAAAACTACGGCACAATCCTTAATACAGACACCTTCAATATCTTTTAGAGGTTTACAGTTCAACAGAGGTACAGAAGGATGTCAAACCATTGAAAGCATGAAGTCCTACGCACAGTTGGAAGACAGGTGAAAAGAATGAGAGGACTATAATTCAACCCTATTCTTGAACTTAAACTTTACTATGCACACTCAAACATACCGTGCTCCAACCCATGTCTGGAATCTCAAAATTAGGAACCCCAAGGCAAATTTCGGTTCAGAATATGATTACGTTCTTATAAAACTTGAAGTTGAAGCTGTTATAACACGGTACCAAAGTCAGCTTAGTTATAGGGGGGGTTTCCTCACCAATTTCATAACATTTAATTCAAATGGCATAAAAGATAAAAAATTAATGTCTCAAATGCACATTGATTTCCATGATAAAAAAAAAATCCTAACTTGGAAGGGCATGATCAGCCACTTCTTTATTCATTTTCTATCTGAACTCTTATACTGAAAATGTTAGACGGTAGTTATGCCTCAATCCTTATTTAAACATACGTGCGTATGTGTGTGTAGCCTATTAATGCTTTGAAAGTTCAGAATCCCAAGGTTGATAGAAGGAGGGAATGGTGAACCTGAAGAAAAAGTGCGGCAGAAGTTGCTCTTCGTGTAAAATTGCGAAGCTCTCTCTCTTGAGAAACCTTGGCAAGAAGCGCATCCCTTGAAATCTCCTTCGCGCTAGCTCCCCGCAATGACACCTGATCAAAGAATTTTACAACAATTTATTGTTTCAGGATTATTGAATACTTGTACATGTATGCAGGTGCTGTAGATAGAGACAGGAACCTGGTGTTTTCGGGGCTCGTCCATAGCTGTCGGTAATTAGACCAAACAAGAAAATCCGATGGTTTCTGTTGCGTTAAAAAGTGAAATCTTCGCGGGTGCCGGGGATGGAGGATCGGGGTGAAAGGTAATGGTTCGGCCGGAGGCCGGTAGGTGGTTGGAGTCTTCGAGATATGTGGATTAATTACAGATCAGCCAGCGTAATTTCCACGTCAACGGGCATAAAATACACACACACGCACACACACAAGTATATATTCCTCTTAGCAATTAGCAAATGAATAAATAATTTGTTTCCTTTTTTTTTTTTTTTGCTTTGTAATTACGTAACTAATGAAAGTGAAAGAACGATCTAATGATACATGATCAGATTGTTGTACACGAAAGAAAGGCGGAGGGTAGATTATTATTTTTTTTTTAAAAAGGAACCGAATAAAGGAATTTTAGATTGGGTGAAGAATACTGATTGGAATTTGATTATGACTAAAAAAAAACTTTTTATGTTATACAAATTTATTTTGAACGACGAATTGATTTGATTATTATTTATGATATTGATCAGATTCAAAACCATCGAGAGCTAATTCATTCGTTGAATTTACAGGCGAAAGGTTTAACATATCTATGGCATTACATCCTGCGGGAAAAAAAAAAAAAGAAGAAGAAATAGTTGTGGCAAGATATGCATTCGCTTTGACAAAGACCTTGATGACTTCAGGTCTTGTACTTGAAAGCGATGCATTCTAAAATAAAGACGATGATCTCTATTTTTTTTTTTTTCGAGACGATAAACCTAATATATCCTACATTAAGGGAAGGGAACGGCTCTAAAAAGGTCCAAAAATAATTTGAGAGAGACTAAATCATTACCAAATCAGACGGATGTATAACACGCCCGCCTGAATTTTTGTATAAATAAGCTACTTAAATGTGAGCATTAGGCCAAACATTGAAGAGTTGTGAGCAGCTCCGCGTGACCCTCGAATGATTGATGTAAATTGGTTCTCAAGAAGCCACAATGTAGCTCACGAATTAGCGCATTTTGTTAAAAGATCTTGAACTTCTACGGAACTGTCTTCTTATTTTAGTTGAGCAATTCGTGCTTAAAGATTTTCACTAATTAAGAATGAAATATTATTTATTATAAAAAATATACACTCAATTATCATAGAAAAAGTAAATGATATTTGCAAAAAAAAAAAAGAGTATCACAACAGAAAATACTCACGTGTCTTGTTTACAAAAATAATTATATATATGTACATATACATGTACACACAGTTCTTTTAGTTTTTTGGTGTTTATGCATAGGAGTGGGTACGGGTCGAGTGCCCGTCCCAAACGTGATTTGACTGACCTGACTCTACTCTATCTATCGGATCACTATTTTTTTATCCTAATCCGCTCCACTTATCTCCGGATACCCGAGGACCGGGTACAAAAAAAAGGGTGGGTCATCGGGTATCCACCCTTATAATTTATATTTACTAATATCCATTTTTCAAGCACAACAAATATCACCTTCCAATTAATTACTAAACCAGAATAAGAAAACATAAAGAATAAGTGCTAAATTCAGCTTCGACATAAACAAAAAATAGAAAAGAAAGTGCCAACCAAATCAACTTCAGCAACTCTTGGTTCTAGAAACAAATTCCCCCAACCTAACAACTTTCACAAGCCTACTAAAATTCAAGAAATCATAGGCTAAAAGAGATGCTACATGCTGATGCGAATAACTACAGAAGTACACCCAAGTAAACTTGAATTATTTAAGAAGCGCCAGCAAAGTCAATAAGTGCGGGTTCTGCACTTTCCAACTCCACTTTTCTGTTAGAGTGCACTTACAAGGTTGAGAGTTTGCATTGACGTTCCGGCGTTCTACAGCTTCTGCTTGAGGCTTGCTTTGAGGAGCACCAGCAAATCAGAAATGGGTTGTGATTCTCTCATGATTCTAAGACAATCGTATATTTGTAGCACGAAGTGGTGAAAATTGAATAGAAATTTGGAATTGTTGTGGTGAAAATTGAAGAGAAGAAGAGGAGATATTCGGCTAAGATAGAGAAGAGGAGATATTCGGCTAAGATAGAGAGAAACTTCAAAAGTGAAAAGCTGAACGTTGATAATATTTAGGTCTTTAGGGTTAATAATTTAAAAAAATTATAAAATTATCCTTATATTTTTTAATATTTATATAATATACTCGCGGATTGAATACCCGCAAGTTTTTTATTTTTGTAACTCGTATCCGTATCTGAATTTTACAGGTACCCGATCCTCATCTGCTCTGCTAATAAAAATTGGATCAGATATCCTAATTTTCGGTGCGGGACGAATCAGATTGCTTGGACTTTTAGGTCGATGGATATTTTTGCCCGCCCCTACTTATGCACACATAGTTCCTTCGTCTTGATCAGTTGTCCTTCACTTTCTTTTATTTCTTTTCCGTACCAACCGAAAAATTTTTTTTTTGACAACCTACGCATCAAAAAAGGCTTGTCTTCCTAATCATTTGTGCATTTTAAAAATGAAAACAAGCTCAATATAAACACCACAAAAATGAAGAAAAGGAATTTGAATGTGTAAAGAATAATAGAAAGAAAATATAAAATATCAAAATGCCAGAAAACCCAAGACCAGAAAATTTCTAAAGCGACAGCATCATCTAAAGTGTTGAGCTTGGGGCTAAGAGGAGGGGGTAAGAAACTAAAAAGCAAGCTACTTTCCTTCAACCGGCGACTATGCTTGGCCCCTCAGCCTTCCATGGAAGCTGTAATCCATCATCCAGCCACCGGCGCCGCCGCCTTCTCTCCTTGCTCTCCACCGGAATCCCTTTTCTCACGTCGTATTACAGACCTTCCCCGTCGTTCAAAACCTGATATCTCTTCATTTCTTTCTCCTTCTAAACCCAAAACAAAGCCCCAAAACCTCCGTCTCAGCCCACAATTCCTGCCAAGTCCATCTATCTCTCCCTCTAAATCGCCGCCTCTTGATCCCCCTTTGACTTCAGAGCCGTCCATCAAAACTGACCTACCTAGCAATGACTACTCCCATTTGCTTCTGCTCTCTGCTCGTTACGGTGACGTCGAACTCGCTAAAGCAGTTCATGCTTCTATTTTCAAACACGAAGAGGATACTTATCTATCCAATGCTCTCATTGTCGCCTACCTCAAACTTGGCCGAATTGATTTTGCCCACAGAGTTTTCAAGAATATGTCAAGCCCAGACGTTGTGTCCTATACCGCTTTAATATCTGATTTGGCGAAGTCCAATCGAGAAAATGAAGCTATTGAGCTCTTCTTGGAAATGAGAGGTTCAGGTATTGAACCAAATGAGCATAGCTTTGTGGCTTTATTGACTGCTTGTATTCGCTTACTGAATTTAGAATTGGGTTTGCAAGTTCATGCCTTTGTGCTCAAATTGGACTTTCTGGGTTCCACTTATGTTGTGAATGCGCTAATGGGACTGTATAGTAATTGTGGTTGTCTAAATTTTGTAATTGAATTGTTTTATGATATGCTAGTAAGGGATATTGTTTCTTGGAATACGGTAATATCGAGTTTGGTAAAGAAAGGGATGTGTGACAAAGCATTCGAATCTTTCCGTGATATGTTGAGGATAGATGGTTTTAGAGTTGACTATTTTACGATATCAAGTCTGTTGGCTTCGGCTGCAGCTGCTGGGCGTTCTGGAATGACAGAAGGCGGTGAAATTCATGCCTGTGCAATTAAGCTTGGATTTGAGAGCAATTTAAGCGTCAACAATGCACTTATTCGGTTTTACACGAAGCGTGGGAGCGTAGAGGATGTAAAGGTTCTGTTTGAGAGGATGCCTGAAAAGGATGTTTTCACTTGGACTGAGATGATAACTGCATATATGGAATTTGGACTTGTTGATTTAGCTGTGCAGACTTTTGATATGATGCCTGATAGGACATGCGAATCCTATAATGCTCTTTTAGCAGGATATTGTCGTAACAACAAAGGCTTGAGGGCTTTAAACCTTTTTTGCGACATGGTGGAAGAAGGCATAGAGTTAAACGATTTTACTTTGACTAGTGCTATAAATGCTTGTGGGTCTGTGATGCAAAAGAGCACTAGTGAGCAAATTCATGCATTTATTCTGAAGTTTGGTTGTGCGAGAAATAGTCATGTTGAAGCAGCATTGCTCGACATGTGCACATGGTGTGAAAGAATGGCAGATGCTGAAAACATATTTCTTAGATGGCCAAAGGATTGGGAAAGAACAATTGTGTTGACAGCAATGATATGTGGATATGCTAGAAACAGGCAGCTTGATCAAGCAATCTCACTATTCTGCCAAGGGCAATCAGAAGAATCGTTTGTTGTGGATGAAGTTGTAGCAACTACTATGCTCAGCATATGTGGCCTGTTAGGATTTTGTAAATTTGGGGAACAATTACACTGCTTCTCAATCAAATATGGTTTGTTATCTGATACGAAGATGGCGAATGCCACAATCAGCATGTATGCTAAATGCGGACGGATGGAAGCTGCAATTAAGGTCTTTGATGCAATGCTAGTTCATGATACAGTGTCATGGAACAGCTTGTTAGCTGGGCATGTACTCCATAGGCAAGGGGATGAGGCTTTGGCTGTTTGGATGAAGATGGAAAGTTTAGGAGTACAGCCTGATACAGTTACCTGTCTCTTCATTATTTCAGCTTATAGATACACTGGCTCTGATTTAATTGATTGTTGCCATAGATTTTTCTCTTCAATGGAATCGCGTTACCAGATCAAACCCACTTCAGAACACTATGCTAATTTGGTTGGTGTTTTAGGGCACTGGGGTCTGCTTAAAGAAGCAGAGGCAATAATTCTGAAGATGCCTTTTGTGCCAAAGGCTGCTGCTTGGCGCGCTTTACTTGATAGCTGTAGGGTACATCAAAATGCAGCCATTGGGAAAAGGGTTGCCAAGGAAATACTTCATGTGGAGCCACAAGATCCTTCTATGTTCATATTAAAATCAAATCTATATTCGGCATCTGGAAGATGGCATTGTTCTGATACTGTCAGGGAGAAGATGAGGGAGAAGGGACTTCGGAAATTTCCAGGCCAAAGCTGGATTATACATCAAAACAGGATTCACTCATTTTTCGCAAGGGACACATCTCATCCTCAATCTAAAGACATATACAGTGGGCTCCAGATATTACTCTTGGAGTGTCTAAAAGCTGGTTATGTCCCTGATACAAGTTTTGTGCTTCATGAAGCGGAGGAACATCAGAAGAAGGATTTTCTTTTCTACCACAGTGCAAAGTTAGCTATGACTTTTGGACTTCTGATGACTAAGCCTGGAAAACCTGTTCGGATTTTCAAGAACATACTTCTTTGTGGTGACTGCCATACATTCTTCAAGAATGTTTCAGTTGTTACGAAAAGGGAGATATATGTAAGAGACTCTTCAGGTTTTCATTGCTTTTCAAATGGCAAATGCTCATGCAAAGACCAGTGGTGAGATAGATTCCTTTTTGAAGAATCCGGATGTCTTGGATACTTGCCTCTCACTTTGACAGTTTCTGATTTTCAATTTGCCGATGAATGCTTGTCTATACTTGCAAATTACCATCCATAACGCAATAATATACTAATAAGGAAGTTATCTGCATTACCATCTGCGATTGTAAAAATGAATCATGTTCTTCTTCTTCATTTGTAAGAAAGGTAGACAGAACCACATAACTTTTTATTGAGGGAAAAGGAATAGAAACACATCTTATTCATAGACCACATCTGTAATAAAGATGCTAGAGCATCTCTTATTCGGAGAAACGCTTGCAATGCCTACACAAATTTCATCTATCACCTATCTTTGCTACATACCTACACACACCCAACTTCTAAGGAGAAAACTCAAAATCTAATGCGAAAGACTTCCATCTTCTCAAACATCTCCAGCCAACAAAATATCAAGCACATGAGATCTCAACAGCAAGGCGCCGTGGCTCTTTTGAAGATTCGCAGCCAGCAATACACCGAAAAGGGCCTTTTGCGGTTAAATCAATTGAACATCTGCTTTTTCCAATGCATGCCTACCAAAATATATAGAAAATGTTAGAAAAGTGAACGGACCAATACATACATACATACATAAATAAAGGGTATGAATAGTAGAAAAGTGAATTCAGCTTACGTACATCCTGAACGACAGAAAGGCTATCAGAAGCTTCACAGTTTCCTTTAGTAAATGCTCCACAAACACCGTCTGGATTACCAAAACTTGCAAAATCGATACGAGTCATAACTCTTCCTTGACACGACAAATCCAAAATATTCCCCTCTTCCACATTTGCACAGATCTTCACAAGTTTGATTGTTTGAAATTTGACATTTCGAGGGTCACCCCCAAATTCTTCAAACAAGACTAGATCGTTGTTTCCCTCGTCGCGCAGGAATGAGCGTGGAACATGGTACAATTGCTGAGTCGAGTTACCACATCCCCTTCGGCATTGTTGTGAGGGTTGATATTGTCCGCGATAGTCACATGCCTGACAACCCTGTTGACCTGCAGCAAAATTGCTAGGCCAGTATCGACCAATGTTGTGGCCATTAACCCATGCAGTTCCTTTACCAAGGTCTTGCAAATTCAATACAACTGGGTCTAGTCCCGAAGGAGTGCCAAAAGTTGTCTGTAGAAAAAGGGGGAAACAAAAATACGTGATGAGAATAAATACTGCTAACAGCAGCAATGGACTTGTATTATCAGTTGCGTTGCAGAACTTATGGAAGCATACCTTGTACCAAACAAACATCCTATTAATTGGCAAGCTTTTCTGAGAACTATGCCAACTTTGATGAGGAAGGTTCAGATAAAGTTGCTTCTGGTCAATTCCACCCATTCCAACCTTGTAAGCCCACGTATTTTTAGACAGATCTTTCTCCTCATGATTTGGTGTAACTAATTTCACTGGGCCCAGAATTCCATTCTTTATGTTGTCGAAGAATGCACCATAATTCTGACAGGTCGAGAGATGTCAAGAAACATATAGCAAAGAATAAATAAAAATAATAATCTAATCAAAAGAATATACAAATCCCCACCTGCAGACCAACCGTTGCACTAAGCAATGATATTGAGTTCATCCCATGTTTAAGGCTCACGGGAGAGCTAAAGTCAAATTCAAAATGTCCGTTTTGTGCAGCCTGTGACCCTGTTGATTAAACACGTATATATATAATAAGAATATTGACAACCCACAAAAAAAAAAAAAAAACAGAGGTATGTAATTTTTAACATGTAAAAAAGGCGTTGACTTTACCTACGTGAATACCGTTGACAAATGCATGGATGACGTGCCCAGTTGTATGAACATAAAGAGTAAGGTCTCCACCCCAGACTGGATCCTTTTTATTTACGTCCACACTAATCAAATGTAAACAAAAAAGAAAGTGTAATAAATCATGGAATATAATGGAAAATAACCTACGTACGAGGTTTAAAATTCTTGGACACATACGTTGTCATGTACCAAAGGTAATCAGACGTATCATTGGTTACTGTCTTTTGATCGAGTAACTCTGTTGCAAGAGTAAGACCCTTCGGATGGTGGCGTCCATGAACCTTCTGGGCAAGATTTTCAATAGGCTCAATCGTCCAACGCCACTTCAAGCCAGCTATATCTTCAACCGCGTCTAGTACATTTGTTTGAGCACTTACCTATATATTAAGGGCCATAAAAATTAATCACCGGATCGAAATTTGTTAAATATATTTAATTGAGCAGTGTTAATTAATTAATTGTTAACTCACTTGAGCAGTGTTGTAAGCCAAAGTTCGACAATCCCTATAGATGCTAACAGACCATGGCGGAATGGTATATTGTATGCCTTCAAAGGTTAGTGTCATGGCATCATTTGAATTTGCATTTCCGAAAAAGCAAACTCTTTCCGGACCATAAGTATAGACTGAAGACTGGAACAATTAGATAAAAGGGTACGTTAAAAGATGTTAGATTTTGGAAAAACCAAAAAAAAAAAAAAAAGACAGAATATATAGATGCGAATGAATGATCAGTACTCACAGATAGCATATAGGTTCCATGCTCTTGATATTTATGATCTCCGTAAGTCAAAATCTTTTCCAGTGAGTAGAGCAGGAGGTGCAATTGTCTAAGATGTCCCCATTTTGGTTGATTCAACAATCCTAGCAATTTTTTTTTTTTTTTTTTATAACGAGACAACAAAAGAAAATTTGAGAATTAAGTAAACAGGACAGGCGAAATCAAATACTGATATATTGTGTTATAAAATTTTAAAAAACAAGCCAAATCAAATAGGAGTATATATGTTTTAACATTATAGATTGTTACCATATTCATTAAGTGGTGCATCGTAATCATAACTTGTGATGATATAAGGTCCACCAGAAGTACGGCCAAAATTGGTGCCGCCATGATACTGTTCAAGAATATGGAAAAATAAACGAAAGGAAATTGTTCAAGAATTAATATATACCATGCAACTGTCAATTCTTTTTTTTTTTTTTTTTTTTTGTGGTTAATTGGGAGAATCAATCACTAAAATACAAACCATGTAATAGTTCATGACCGTGCCATTCAATTGATAGAACCGAGCAACGGCAAATGCTACGTCTTCTGCAGTTCTACGCGGAGTTGCATCTCCCCAGTCCTTGAACCTTTATGGAGAAAAAAAAACCATTAAATGAAAGAAGAAAACCGTTTTATTTGAGAAAATTCAGATCAAAACTTACCACCCAGTCCAATTTTCTGTCCAAATTTTAGGAATATTGTCATTTTTGGGTTTGAACTGATCGCAGTAGAAACCGTTACATGTATTAATCTGAAGAAAAAAAAAAATAAAGATCAGGACTGCTGCAGTTTACTAGTTCCAGAAGCTACAAGTAATACCATGGGATCTGGAGCATCTGGCTGTTGACACATAATCCATGGAACTCCAATGCTCAGAGATTCAGCCAATTGAGCACACCACTGAATATAGGGTCTTGCAACACTTCCAAAATTCCAAGCAACATCTCCATATTCGTTCTCAATCTGATCATAAGGGAAAAAGAAAAATGAAAAGAAAGCTCGATCGTTATTTGATGTAGGGGTTATGTATTTAGTAGTAGTGTATAAACAACAATTGATAGACTCTTGATCTCAACCAAACCTGAGCAAGGATTATTGGACCTCCTTGAGAAGCAAAAAGGTTAGCATTTTTCATCATTTCAACTATCAGAGTTGTGAAGGTTCTCATTTCATCCTACAATGATGAAGAACAAATACTTAAAATGGAAAGTTCTTTCAACTTCAAATACTAGTAGAATGGAAAGTTTCAAATTGACATAGTACTAGTAGAATGGTTTTCAATTACCAAGAAAGCGGGGCTTGTTGTCCTGAAGGTCACATTCTGCATATTGTGCAACCACGCAGGAAATCCCCTAGTGCACAAAGTTCAATATACAAGCTTATTACTACACCATGCATGCATATATAGGTTTTTTTTTTTTTCTTGGCCACCTCATGAGAAACATCTTCTATAGGAAAATAGTCACGTACCCAAAATTCCACTCGGCACAGACATATGGTCCAATCCTTAAAATAGCATAAAGTCCCTCGTCTTGGATGGCTTTGATGAACCTGACGAGGTCCAGATTGCCACCAAAGTCGTACTGAAAATAAGTCCAGAAGAGTGGTTAATAAGTCGCAATAATCTACGTACGTAATTTTTGGTGTGAAAAATATTTGTTCATATATATTCTATGCCAGAATTACAAAGTTATATATATGTAGCGTTAGTAGCTGTTACCTGACGACGGAGTGGTTCATGGACGTTCCAAAATACATATGTTTCAATTGTATTCAGACCCCCTTCTTTTGCTTGTCTAATCAGGGATGGCCACATCTACGCATATACAAACAAATATATCTAGCAAACGGTTTGCATTAATTGTAACATGCATTCATGAAATAAAACACTATAACAAAAGAATGGATCGAAAATCATTTGTGAACCAAGAAAAAGAGGAAAATAAAAAGAAACAACTGCATGATCGTACTTCTGTAGTACTGCGAGGATAATGGATGGATCCAGAGATTATGATTCTCCTCTGTCCATCGATTTTGAGTGCTCTTCCATCGTAGGAAATCTGGGCAGATTGACAACCAAGGTAGGTAGCAAACAAAACAATAGTGAACACAAAGAACGCCTTGGCATTGTAACCCTCCATTGCAGATTACACACACTGTATCTGATACAAATGGTGGTGAGGTTGCTTTCCACTATTTATAGAGTCAGGAGGTGATACAAATGGTGATCAGGTTGTTTCCGCTAGGAGAGGACGATAGACGGGATAAAGTGGTACTGTGGTTATCTTGTAATGCATTTAAATAAATAAGGTGTTTATCTATCCGAATTAAGTTTCAATTTTTTGGATTATCGTTATGTTTATCTGATTCGTATTTGATAAGAAGTTATCTAACAAATTAATAAGGAAAAATTATTGCAAATTAACAAGCGATATATCAACATCCGGAATTAAGCGAAGGGAAGAGGTTAATTATTTTTACTAAACATAATAATATACGCAATGGCATGGCAGTATCATGTGAGTATGATCGAATCTGATTCGCAAATTTAACACGTAGCATTGGCACATAGGAATTTAGCTAGGAACAAGTGCAATATCGAATAGCGAATTTAGCTATGGAGATTTGAAACTCAAATTGAAGCTGAAGATGTAGTCTACAAAACTACGGACGGCACAGCGTTTATGATATATCATCGGCAAGATTTTAAACTCAAATTGAAGCCGAATATCTAGTGGATAAAACTTCGGCCTAAATATAGGAAAAAGGAGAGGGGAAAAAAAAAGCGCAAAAACTGGTGGAATTTTACATGGAGCGGACGCAAGTGTTTATAGAGGGCAGGACGCTTCGTATTAGAATGACATTAACGAATATACCATCATCATCTTCTTCTTCTTCTTTCAAAGGGCTTTTTCAAGGCCTCTGGTTACGGTTTTTGAAAAATGTCGAATGCTATTATATTATATATGCTGTTAAAAGGGTTCTAATTGAGATTTTGCGTCATACTACTATAATTGTCCTTGGGAGTTATCTGATTAGCGTTTACCAGTACAACTTTTTCTGCTGATGGTGCTACTGCCGCTAGTCAAAGTTAACTTTGCTCCAGATCCCATGTCACTTGCAGTTTCACCACCAGAAGACGGTGTGTGTTTGGGTGTTGGGGAGTGTGTTGATCATTTTTTGACGATCACTACAGACTCATTCTAGGTTTCCTGAGCTATATATAGGGGTGTGCAAAATGGAAAAATTTCGATTTACCGATCGAATTCGAATTAAAATCTATTCAAATCACTTATTGCTTAAGCATTTAGGCTTTGTTTATTTTGATGGAATAGGAGGGAAAGAAAAGGAAAGGAAACGGCGGGATAAGATTTTAATATTTGAATTAATTTTTGAGGAGGGAAAGGAAAGAATCAGAAGAGAAAGGGAGGAACCAAATCTTTTTTTTTTTTTTTTTTGTAGTTTACTTTCTATCTAAAAAGTGGGCGAAAACATAGGGACACCAAAATTTATGAATATTATAAAATTTTCTAAAAAAATTATTATGCGTATACAAATTGAACTTTTAAATTATGAATAAAAATGTAATTAACTCGTGATAGTTTCCTTTTTTTTTTTCTTTCACAATCACAAGAAGATGGATGGATTATGATTTCCTCTACTCTCATTTTTTTTCCCTACGATATCCTCTTCCTTCCTTTCATTCTCTTTCCTTCAATCCAAACAGTGCCTTAGATTTATAATTCATAAATTATAAAAATATATTTTAAACATTATAATAATTTATAATTTACAAGTTCTAATAATTTCTAAATAATCTAAACAATTAGAGGATTTTGAGAGGGTTTCAAGTCTTTCATCAAATCCTTCAATGGAAATGCAGCCTTAATTAATCTTGTAAGCGAAGATCTACTAGTATAAAAAAAAAAAAAAATCGGAATGCAGCCTTAATTAATCTTGTGAGCGAAGATGTACTACGCCGGACGGCATTACATGCATATGACATCACGGGTGGGGTCGGCACGAATACGAGAAGAAAAGGAAAATTGCGGGGGAATTTTGCATGAAGAGCTCGAAAGTCGAAAGTCGAGACTTAAGGCCAGCTGAAGAAGACGCTTGGCTAGACGGCGCCACCATCTTCCAAAAACTGTTACACTGCTTTCATCACTACCAGTCTACTACACGATACCCATCACCCATGACCCAACCCAGCCCCACCCCAAACCCAAAACCGTCTCTCTTTGATTTTGCTTTCCCATAAATAACGGCACAAAGTTATATTTTGCGTCTCTACATTGAAGTCTAGTAATTATGCAATTTGTAAATTAATTAGAGAGAGAGAGGGGGGAGGGGGGGGGGGAGAGACACTGAGACTGATGGATTACCAGTTGAAAGTAGTAACAGGTTTTCTGGTTGTTAATTGCTGCTAGTATTTGTATCAGAAATTATTATGCGAAGCTGTAGCTAGAAATAATTAAGGCATGCATACATGTCTGAGTCTGAGATGGAGGGGTGGAGGAAAAACGTATGGTCATGGTGGAAAAAGAAAACCGCACATATACTGTCATCTTCTTCAAAGCCTTGGCGGGTTATGGGGCCATTCATTATGATTCTGGGGATAGTGATGGTAGTGCTATTGGTTGGTTCCAAAGGTCGTAACTGGGATTTCGCTGCATCAAATTACCATCATCATCCTTGGGCGGCGTGGAACTGGCCGCCTTCTAATTCTGTGATTACCGATTCAAATTTTTCTGCTGATGCTACTTCAGCCTTGAGCTCAAACGTTGTCGTTCAAGATCCTACCACGCTTTCAGTTTCACCACCAAAAGATGGCGGAGCAGCTGCAACAATGCGTGCTACTGATGATCATTTTGGTGATCATCACCCACGAACTCCTTCGGGAAGCGGTGGCGGAACAAATAATAGTGAGCTAGAGGCAGCTGCACTTTTGTCTCGTGACCACATTTTCAGCCACTCTGGTTCATTACCACCACAGCTTGGTGTTCATGTTGGAGAAACAAATAATCAACCAGCAGTAAGTCTGACCTCTTCTTTGAAATGTCCGCCGCTTTTTTTTTTTTATTATTATTTGATTTTCCTCCACAGTTATTGAATGTCTAATTTTAGGAAACTGAAAAATAATATTAAGATTCTGCTGTTTCTTATTCCTACTTCTTCCTTTCATTTTCCATTTATTCTTCTTCGCCAATTTTTTTTTTTCAATTTTAGGCAGAATTTCATGTTCAAAATTTCAACAGAACGGAAAAGATTACTACCTCTACTATGACATTATATGGCTCCACATATAGAAGGGAACGGAGCGGCAGTTTGGTGGAAGAGAGAAAGTAGATATATAGCTACATTGTAGCAAACGCTAAAGTAGCGGCTTTCTAGTTTAAAATTACTATTGTCGGGCTAAAGTAGAAGTTTTCAACTAATAAAGTAGTTCCGGCTGATTTATTCTGCATTCGCATTTTTTTTTTCTTTAGGTTTTTTTATTTTCAATTTTTTTAGTATAAGTAGAGTTCGAACGAATAATCTTTTACTTACACTTCTTCTCATAATTCCATTCAACCCATTCCTCCCCGTTACGTTGAAAATGAATTTCTCCTCTTGTACATGTTATTATTCTAATATCTTTTAATATGTTTAATTTTGGATCTAATTCGTGTTTAATTTTTTGTGCTGCACTACACGAATTAGGAAAAGTTATGCACTTTTATTGAGGGGGAAAGGGAAAAGAGCATACTAAAACCAGTAAAACGTGTTTAATTGGTTTGTACTTATGTAGTCACTATCATTAAACAGGAAACAGAAAAGGAACTCGATATTACCAAGAATAGGACCACGATTTCTTCTGTCAATGGAACTCACACCCCACCAGGGCCACCACTGAATGCGAGCCTAAACAATAGGTCTAGCAAGTTAGGGAGGCTTGAAGCAAGGATGTGGCAGGCTCTATTGGAGATTGGAGGAGCTTATACCAACGGAAATCAGTCGTCATATGATCCTGACTACGTACCGACAGGCCCCATGTACTGGAACGCCAATGCCTTCCATAGGTATGCTGCCCTTCCTACTCTTTGGTATGATCCTGTTGAGGAATACAAAATTTGGTCATATCTATAGCTATTGCATCTTATGCAAGTCGTAGTTGACATTTGGGAAAGTCTTAACTAACCGTATAGAACTTATGGTCACATGATACTCAAACTTGTAGTGGTAATTCTTAGTGGTTTCTCTCAATCCCCTCCTTCCCCATATCTTTTGGATGTAGATTATGGATAATGATTACTCCGATTGCAGCCAAATTTGGATTATTTTATGTCTTCTCTGGCCATTTTCAGGAGCTACTTGGAAATGGAAAGGCAGTTCAAGGTGTATGTGTACAAATAAGGGGAGCCTCCTATTTTTCACAATGGTCCTTGTAAAAGCATTTATTAGCTATGGAGGGGAATTTTATTCATCAAATGGAGATGACCAAGTTTAGGACCAGGGACCCAAATAAAGCACATGTTTACTTCCTTCCAATGAGTGTGACAGCAATCGTCCACTTCATATATGAAAGCAAATTGAGGGATCATTGGAAACCAATGAAACGCACAGTCAGCGATTATGTGGATCTTGTTTCTGGAAAATACCCTTACTGGAATCGAAGCCTTGGAGCAGATCATTTCATCCTTGCTTGCCATGATTGGGTAAATTTGAGATGAACCATATATGAAATTTTCTTTTCCATTTGCTTGGCTCGAGAACCAGCTCGAGAACCAGCCCATCATCCCTTTGTATTGTCTCAAATCTGGAAACTTCAAATAGTTAAAAGCTTGATTGCACGTTGCAGGGGCCTGAACTTTCCTCGTCAGTTCCTGAGCTGTATACTAACTCCATTCGTGCCCTGTGTAATGCCAATACCTCTGAAGGATTCAATCCTCAAAAAGACGTTTCTTTTCCAGAGATACACCTTCCTCGCGGTACATTGGAAGGCTTAGTCGGGGGCCCATCCCCCTCACAGCGGACAATCCTGGTATTCTTTTCTGGAGGGCTTCATGGCCCTATTAGGCCCGTGCTTTTTGAGCACTGGGAAAACAAAGACGAGGACGTCCAGGTTCACAGGCACTTACCGAAAGGTGTTTCATACTATGGGATGTTGAAGAGCAGCAAGTTCTGCATTTGTCCTAGCGGTTACGAGGTTGCGAGCCCAAGATTGGTGGAGGCACTGTACACTGGCTGTGTCCCTGTACTCATCAAGGACCATTATGTGCTGCCATTTAGTGATGTTCTGAACTGGAAGATGTTCTCGGTTGAAATTCCCGTGAAGAATATTCCAAACTTGAAAAAAATTCTTATGACTATTTCTACAAGACAGTACATTAGGATGCAGAGAAGGGGCAAACAAATCAGGCGGCATTTTGAGCTTAATTTGCCTCCAAAGCGGTATGATGTGTTTCACATGATTCTTCATTCCGTTTGGCTTAGAAGGCTCAATGTTCAACTTCATGGGATGAGGGATCCCTAAACCAATAGATAGATGTTTGGGTATAGCGCTGTATGTTGCTTGGCACTCATGCTCATGGATCACTAACTTGTGGTGTTGCTAATATTTCAGATCATTAGATTGTTATCCCTACAGATAAAGCCAAAGCATCGTGGTAAACAGTAATTAGAGTGTGTTTTCCTTACTACAGATGAGAAAAAAAGCCTACACTGTATATTCAACAGCGTATAAGCAGCATAATGTTGTTTATTTTCTCTCTGTCTTTTGGCCGGCCCGGCCTCCTTTTTGCAGTTGGAATCCTCTATGCCACTATTCGGTGCCAAATTCAGTGCCAATCTCAGTTATCACGTGATGATAGAAGAAATTTAAATAAATAGCATATGACAAATTAAATAAACATGACACTTGGCATAAATATAGAAGTGGCACTGAATTGCTACTGGAAAAGTGGCACTGAGAATCCTGTGTGCCTTTTTTGTGTTTTATAAAAAAAACCATGTGTGTCCAAATTTATGTGAAATGATCCCATAGAAGAGGACACGATTCATGATAAAATGTCCTGAATGGCATCCATTTGCACGAGGTTTTAAAATTTTTTAAAAATATTTTATTGCCTTTTTTTATGTAAAAAAAAAATCAGTATTTTATTCCTTATTTTCTAGAATGATACACATGACAAGTAGATGATTCAAAATGGTAGCCTGATATTGTACTTTAAATATTTTAAATAGTTACTATAAGCAAAATTAAGCTTTAAGTACGAAAATTTGTAAACTATATTAAAAAAAAAAAAAAAAAAAAAGGCCAGCACCAATGCATATTTTAAAGGAAACACAAAATTGGCTTGCCTAAACTAAATAAAATGGGTTTGGGGTGCCCAATGGACATTCATTGAGAGATATTTCAGGTGTCGTATTTTTTAAAATGTAAAATTAATTAAGAAAAGTAAACAAATATAAAGAAACGTTAAATGAATTTTAGGTATGTTAACGAGTTACCAATGGATATCTATTAGCAAAACCCAAATAAAAATAAAAATGATTCTATTGAACTAAACGTTTCGTGCTCAAAATTGTCCAAAGCTCTCCTATACAAAATCAAAATACGCTAAATCAATATACTATTCTATTAGCTATCATTTCAAATCAGTAGGAACGATTTTTATTTTTGGCAGGGATGCAAATTGAGTACGTGAACTATCGTTAAAGGTTTCATCCTGAGATTATGTTTACATTGAAGTAAATTAATTTGTATCTAATTGCACCAATCTCTAATCGTTTGTCATGTAACTCTACAAACACACACACACACACACACATAAGATAGTATTGGTTTTTCCGTCTCAAAGAAACAAAAATCACTCGTTCCAAATCCACAAGATTAATATGTCATCAACTAAGAAGATAAGATAATAAATGTGCTTGCGCGTGCATGGTTCTCAAGGCATTTACCAGCTTCTTATTTCAAATATATATAGTCCAAAAAAAAATAAAATAATATATACCTACTTATATTTGACAGCAAACATGCAAGCTTTGTTGTATATTCTCGTGAGATGGTTATGTAATTAAGTTGATTGATATAGGGTTCTTCAGTAACTTGTAATTAATAAATCGTTATTCAATTCAATTCCCAAATGATGTATTCATGGGCAGAAGATTTGAACCTACGACCAGTTGCCCTTTTGATGATTCCCAACAAAAAAAAAAAAAAAAAAAAAACGCTGCTTTCTGATTTTTACCCGAAAATCTCCACGAATAATAAACAAGGTGGGAGTACAATAAAACATGCAGCTCCATGCGATATCAGCAGAGTGGCCTACATAGCGTGGCAAAAACTACCCAGTTTGATTATGATCGCAAATTCAATAATCATGGGCAATGCCCCAATTCATTAAGGGATTATAGCATCCCTGATGCTGGAAAAAATCCTTCCACTGCTTTTCCAGTTTCCCCTCCTCTTCGATATCAAGAAATCCTTCTGTTCATGTTTCTTACATTTAATTTCGTGATGTTTAATTTGATTTGGATGAGGGTGCTTTTGGTTTGCTCGACATTTTAGCCTTGACGTTGATCTCTGATGGACAAGGATTGCGGCTATTATATTCCAGCTTCTGCATGGTAGACGAATAGACTACCAAATTTGTGAAGACATTTTTTTTTTTTTTTGAAACTTTCCCTAAATTTTTTAGCAACTTGTTCGGTTATTTTTTTTCATAGAACTACTATTATCGAGTATGAAGCAAATTATCAATAGTTTTATTTTTGTTTCGAAACAGCTTTGAAATTGTATTGTATTACTAGTATGTTTATGGAGGATTTCCATTTCCCTTTTTTTTTTTTAGTAGAGAGGATTTCATTTATGGGAAATGACCAAAAAAAAAAAAAAAGAAACCCCCATAAATGAAAAAAGATTCTAATCCTAGACGACGGAGATTTTCAGGATATAATAAAAGGAAGGTTCACCATGCAATCAGAAAGGAAGGTATCCCTTGAAAGACGGTTAACTTAGGTTTCCGACTCTTGAAGTTAGAAGTATATAAGTGTTCGCTTAATTCACTGGAAAGTAGAATCTCCAATTGGGACAGTGGAAGACGTGCAAATCCGGACTTTACCATATATGGAAAATAAAAAATTTCACTTCTGTATATTTAACGTTCTTCCTCCCCATCCCAGAGGAAAAGAATCCGGACCGAAAACTGACAGAACCACAGGAGGAGAACTTTGCGCTTCTCATGACATGCTATTCATCTTCAATTCAATATCACTTTTCCCATCATCTCCTACACGAAGACTCATAGTCCGATCGGTCGAGCAGGTCCCAAAGATACAAGTATGCGGGATTGTAAAGAATTCTTTACAGAACCATTCTTTTCGAGGCTTCGCCTGGTTCTGGTAGCAGTAATTGCTACCACTGCAATATTGGCTATGAGTAGCAGTAGAATCCCACTTACTGCGTACCGGAAGGCATATCTTCAGTCAAAAGAGTCGGACGGCTCCCGTGTATCAAATATTTCTGCTCATACCCAGCCAAGAAAAGATGGTGATTATCACGTAAGGCCTCTCTACTTGTACAGTTCTATAATTTACTTTGACCCATCCAAGATGCAAATAAAAAACGTAATGAATGCGTGCCTTAACTCGCTTGTCCATCCACCTACTGCAAATGGAATGCGAATTTGCAAAGAAGTCTTTAAATATTTGATGGTTGCAGTTTTAAGAGTGTGGTTGAATCACAACATCTTGTAAATTGGCACAACTGGGATTCTGGTTCCTATAGATCATGCAATTTTTTCCAACATTTATTAAACTTGTAAGTATTACACGACTATTTTGTCTCTCGTTCCCTTGTGTCGCGCACGTTTTCATGTTTTCTTGCACACATATTTTAGTCGATATTCTTTTCGGTCGCATGTAGCTCCAGTTATGGGCAAGGTTGTATCTTGTATGTCAATCACGATGGATAAATTGAAAGAGCCCTGCATTGAAAACGCTGGGATAATATATAATTCTTGAGTAATTCCACGGAGAATGAGTAGGAAATCCGAAAAAGTTTGTCAAGTTGATCATTGACCGAATGATATGCATTAATTGTTGCCTCTTACTCTTTCGCTTGTGAGTTGCTCATCCGGTAATGATTGGAACTTCAACAGCTAAAAAGTGATGAAGGGCTTCATAATATCACCAATGTCCCGCGATCCAAGAATAAGTACAGTAACTTAGAGATCTTAGAAGCAAGTCTAGCGGAAGCTCGGGCTGCAATAAAAGGAGCCAGAATTGGACAAGAAGCACCTCACGAGGACTTTGTCCCCAAGGGTCCAATGTACCTGAATGCTACAGCCTTCCGCAGGTAATATCTTTCAATTTCCATCTAAAGTTGAAGGAGTATCATTTATCAACCGAGGACGTTACTTCAGTAATGGAAAGGAAAAGGATAAATAAGGTTTACCATTGATCTCACTTCTTTTAACTCCCCTTTTGAACTGCAGGAGCTATTTGGAAATGGAGAAAAGATTTAAGGTGTTCATCTACGAAGAAGGGGGTCCCCCAGTTTTCCATGTTGGGCCCTGCAAGCATACATATGCTATCGAGGGGTATTTCATACAAGCGCTGGAAGTTAGCCCCTTCAGGACGACGGATCCAAGCAAAGCTCACCTTTACTACCTCCCATTCAGCGTGACGAGGATAACGGAATTCATTTATGTCCCTGAATCCCGTGAATGGGGCCTAATGAAAAGTTTTGTCGCAGACTATGTCAATACTATCTCACACAAGTACCCTTACTGGAATCGAAGCCTTGGAGCAGATCATTTTATGCTTGCTTGCCATGATTGGGTAAGCACTCATTAATCAAG